AAAGACCAGCATCACTGAGGTAAAAATCTTCTGGGAAGTGTTTTCTGAGAGCACAATAAAAGCTTTGTTCCAGAGGCAGCCAAGGTTGTACCTCTTGCTGGCAGCCGGACTTGGTACTGTGTAAGAGTCACCCAGGTGGTATTGGTTTTGAAGGCATGGAGAGGTCATGAAGAGCAGCTGAGACTTTGCACTGTGAGAGGCCAGGAGAGACCACTGGTGAAGGTGCAGCCTCAGTGGCAGTTAAAGGCTCAGGACTGAAGAGGTCATGAAGAGAAGCTGAGGCTTGGCACCATGAAGAAAGCCTATGACAGGCTTTTGGTGAAAGCGCAGCCCAGTTGCAGCAAAGGACCCCACCAGTTTTGGAGATGCCGGTACCATGGGACAACCACCAAGAACAGCAGCAGCAGCAGCGGAGTGGAGGCAGCCTGAGCCTAGAAGACAAGCTGTGTGCTGCAGAGGGCAGAGCTGGAGAAGTAACCCAAGCGAAGGAGCCCCGAAGACCGTGAGTGAATCCTAGACATTGGACAGTTAGAGTTTGATTTTGCTTTGATTTGATTGTGACTGATTTTTTTCCCTCTTAAAGTAAGAAAGTATTTCACTGGAGCCCACAGTTAAGAGACCTTGAATTGTAAAAAAAAAAAAAAAAAAAAAAAAATTGGATTTTCATAAAGATTGGATATTTTAAAGGGACTGAAATTTTAATGTGTTTGAATGTGTAAAGACTGTAGGACTTTTGAAGTTATTTAGATCTTGGGGATGGATAAGAAAGAAAGGGTGTGACTTAATAGTGATGCGTTGGTGTGTCAAGTTGACAAAGGTCAGTTGTACTGGCTGGTTTTGTGTGTCAGCTTGACACAAGCTGGAGTCATCACAGAGAAAGAAATCTCAGTTGACGTTCAACCTCCATGAGATCCAGCTAGCTGTAGGACATTTTCTCAATTAGTGATCAACGGGGAAGGGCCCAGCCCATGGTGGGTGATTCCATCCCGAGGCCGGTGGGCCTGGGTTCTATAAGAAAGCAGGCTGAACAAGCAGCTCAGCAGGGGAGCAGGCCAGTAAGGCATCACCCCTCAATGGTCTCTCCATCAGCTCCTGCCTCCAGGTTTCAGCCCTGCCAACTATGATCTGGAAGTGTAAGCCAAATAAACCCTTTCCTCCCCAACTTGCTTTTGGTCATGGTGTTTCCTTACAGCAGTAAATCCCTAAGACACAGACTCCCCCCCCCACCAGGACTTCGAGATCATGCAAGAGGAGGAGGAAAGCTTGTAAGAGCCAGAAGGAGTGGATATCTGTGGCAACACAGTGTTTCTCAGACATGGCGAGGCCATTGTGCATGTGAACTCAGTGGCTGGGACTGCATGCATGAGATCAAGCCAGCAAGGATCCAGGTTTTAGATAGGAGAAGGGATCATGAAGTCCCACGCCCACGGGAGGAGCCACTGACAATTGACGGCTGCTGGGCAAGGGGAGCCAGTATTCTTCAAGGCTGCAGTTCCTAGGAGGCTACCCAAGCTCCGATAAATCGTTCTACACCTATGAAACATACATACAAAAGTAAATTACATGGAATTTTAAAAGACACACAAAGTTGTGAGTGGAAAATGGTGGAGGGAATAGGGGAGAAATTAGAGGAGAAAACATGGGTGGGGGAACACATTATTTGAATGTGTGAAATTCTCAAACAATAAAAAGAATATTTTAAATATTATATTATATTACTATATTATATTATATTATATTATATTATATTATATTATATTATATTATATTATATTATATTATATTATATTATTATATATTAGCATCTGTGAGCACACATGCCCACATGAGCACACACCTATGCTATAGAACATGTGTGAAGGTCAGAGGACAACTTGAGGAAAACTCTCCTTTCAATATGTAGGCCCCAGAGATCTAACTTACCCTGTCAGGCTTGGTGACAAGTGCCTTTTACTGCTGAGGTCAATCTCAATAACCCCATTCCTCATTTTCATTGCTGCATTAGCCACCAGCAGTTCAGACTTTCCAAATAATGGTACAATAAGTGGCAGAGAAGTGGGGACTCCCCATCTCCCAGCCCGGTCACAGCAGTCAAGGATTAGAAAGATGCCTTGCCCCCTTGGATAACGAAGCTGGTTCCATAACACTAAGCTGAGAAGAGCTGGGGATTTCTCAGACCCACAGCCTGGATATTCATTAGGTTAAGGGAGTATCTGCCAGGCAGGACAGGGAGGCGTGGCTTGGAACCAGCGTGGCTAGTTGGAGGGGAGAGTCATTCAGGTCCCATCAAATGACAGAAGTGGGGAAAGCATACTCTCAGCATGCTGGCTACTCAGACCTAGGTAATTGTTGGTTGCTCCAAAGAGGCGTGCAGAAGCTGGCATTGCTGGGCTCTGAGCCTGTGAGGGACTACAGTTCATAGGTCCAGGCTGGCTTTTGGATGCCATAACAGGCTATGTAATGCTGAGTCCCCACACTCCTTCCTCTGAGATGTCAGTGGGAAGAAAACCTCCAGATCCAGGTTAGCGTCCTTCCATCCACACAGGGTCCATGACGCTTCAGACTCTCCAGGTGACACCCTGCCTCCTCCAAGGCAACAAAGCGTGGGAACTCCCTGCCAGTTCCTTGTGCCAGGAGCAGCAGTCTCGTTTCATGGTTTCTTAAAAGATCTTTTGAGATGGGGTCTCTCTATGTAGCCTTGGCTGTCCTGTAGGTGGACATAACCTCATACTCAGAGATTCAGCAGCCTCTACCCTCCTGAGTGCTGGGATTAAAGGTGTGTGTCACTGTGCCTGGCTTCCTTTCATGATTTCCAGGAAGTGACTGTGCATGGGGCCTAAATAATAGAGTTAATGAGACTTGCAAATGTTCCAATCACGTATATCCCTCGACCTCTTCCCCATTCTCCCCCCTATCCTCCTCCTTCTCCTCTGTTCCTCTATGTGTATGTTCATGTGTGTACCTGTGGAGACAATAGAACAACCTCAGATGTTGTCCCTAAGGAGCAATCTACCTTGTCTCTTTTTTAAGATTTATTTTATTTCTGTTTCTGTGTGTGTGTTTGTGTGTGTGTGTGTGTGTGTGTGTGTCTGTCTGTCTGTCTGTCTCTTTCTGTCCCTCTGTCTCCCTGTTTCTGCCTCTCTCTATCTCTGTGTTTCTCTCTGTGACTCTGCCTCTGTCTCTTTCTGTGTGTGCAGGTGCCCTCATAGGCCAGAAGGGGGGAGTCTGATCCCCTGCAACTAGAGTTATAGGTAGTTGTGAGCAGCCTGATGTGGTGGCTGTGTGTGGTTCTCCTCCTGCCTAGGGGGCTTTTCCCACCAGCTCACGAGGGCAGAAGGCGCAGAAGATAAGGTGCAGAGCTTGGAAGGCCAGTGAGCATGATGGAGATCAGACACTCCAGGAACCACTGCAGGGAGCTAGTTCAACTTTAACTCCAGAAAACAAAGGCTATATACCCCTGGGGGTAGGGGAAGGCTCACTCCAAGGATAGTACATAATTGGTTAAAACTAGGCACTTCAAGGATGTTTGATTTACATTATACAGCAGGCTCCTATCATACGAATGGAAACAAAGTACCTAATTATCCTATAGGCACAGGGAGGGGAGGGCTAGCAGGGAGCTGTGTCAGAGGCCATATATCAAATGTGGCTAAGAGCATCTATGTCTACAGACACTCTCCAGATGAGGTCCGGCAGAGAGCAGGAGGCCATGCAGGGGAGAGGGAGTCCTTCTCCTTAATGTCAGGCTCAGAATGTCTATCTGGCCTGGGAGGACTACAGCTTCAAACAGCAGGGTCTTTCCAACAGTTGTGAACCGCTCTGGTCCTCTAGGAAAGTGGCAAACATTCTTAACTGCTGAGCAACTCTCCAGCCCCTCCCCCACCCCCACACACATTCATTCATTGTTTTTTGAAACAGGGTCCTCACCATGATTTGTGACTAACAGTTTTGGCTAGACTGGCTGGTCAGGAAACCCCCAGAGCTGGGATTCAAATGCCTGCCACCATGCCTGGCTTTATACACTGGTACAAGTGTATAAAGTGGATCAAGCTCGGATCCATATGTTTGGAAGCACTTTACCGACTAAGCTGTCTCTCCAGCTGGGGTCCAGCAAGACGGTTCAGGAGTAAAAATACTTGGCACAGAAGCCTAACTGAGCTCTATCCTCAGAACCCACATAGAAATGGGACGAAAGAACCAACTCCACAGAATCATCCTCTCAGCCCCCAATATTCACTGTAACATGCATTTTCACTCGCTTGCTCTCTTTCCTCTCTCTTTCTCTCTTTCACACTAATAAATAAAGGCTGTTATTGTCACTGGTATTATTATTATTATTATTATTATTATTATTATTATTATTATTATTATTATTATTTTAAAGGAAAACCAAGGCTGAGTGAGTGGGAACCCTCAGAAAGCCTCAGATCACAGACTGAAAAATGAGGGACCATTGAAAGGAGACCGGTACACTAAAAGGAGGCAAGGGGGAGCTCTCAGGATAAAGGACCCCATTGCTTAGAAGGGCACAGCCTTCTAGCAGAGAAACATAGCAAGAGGCATTGTTTTTTGCCCTGTTGGCTCCCTATACCTGGTCAAGGCTGGCACCATTCTCCATCTGTGAATCTTGAGCCCCTTCTTCAGAGAAGCCATCCTGGATCCTCTCTTACTCTCCCTGTTTCCTCCTCTTTATCCCAACAGTTTAGTCATCTCACCAACACCAAGACTACAAAGAAGGTAAGGAATTCATCAACTTTAGGCCTAAGCAGAGCGTGATTGGAATAGCTAAGGAACTGCAGAAGCCATTTAGCACCTTTGAAGGAGACCAGAGGGGACAGAGGGAGAGGGGAAATGGCCACACCCTGCCTCACTGGCTCTAATCATCTTTACCAGCAACCTCTGCCCAGTCAATGTGGCACTTGTACAACACCCACTCATCTTGCCCAGCCCTACCTGGAGCTCCGCCTACACTCCACCCTGTCCAAACTCCTACCTGGATGAAACCTTGACTATCAGCTATCCGTCAGTGAAACCCATAACAGCACCCCACAAGCAGCACTCCCCGGAATCACAGACACGGGCCTGCCAATCTACCATGAAGCTGAACCTACTCTGTGAGAAGCTAACTGTCATGGCCTGTGGGCTCTTATTTCTCCTCATCCAGATAGAGGGTGAGTTTTCCTGCAGGAGACAGGGATTCGGGTTGGACCTGCCAAATCATTCAGATACAAAGATCAAGCCTGATGGGGGAAGGCATCAGCGAGACAGAAGTGGAATTGACAGGAGCCCTGCATCCATCTGATGTGTCGAAGGTCCCTGATACTGCAGAGAACATGGGTCAGATAAAGATACCCAACGCTGAGCAGACAGTGAGCAAGACTGACTGAGAGGAGCTGGGTGGGCTCCACAGATTATTCGAATAGACTTGGGACAAGGCAGGGGACACAGGACTTGGAACCTTTTCCTCCTGTGTTTGCAGCTGGAGCCGCCACTGTCTGAAGGGGGTTAACAACAATACCGTCACACTATGATTACCCTCTGAGAGTGGCTTCCCCTTAAACAGAACCACCCCAGAACTATCCAAAGGAGGCACACGCAAGCTTACTTATTCTGCCTCCTGTACTACATCTTAACATTGATCTGTGCCATCACCAGCTTCCCTCCACAACACGCATCTGACATACAACACGCAAAGGTGTAGCTTGACCATTATGGAAACTGTGGCATGCTTTTCCTGCCAAGAAATCTCTAGGTCCACACCCAAAGCTCGGGTAAGGTGTGCAATGATCCCTGTTCTGTTTAGGGCTGAGAACTGCACGGTGTTACTCTCTGCGCTTTGATCAGTTGTGGGTCTCTGTGTTAATTTACCATCTACTGCAAAAAGAAGCTTCTCTAACGAGACCCAGAAATTGATCTCTAGGTATAATTAGAAGTCCTATATTGTCAAATATGATATGTATTTGAAAATATGAATGCTGTGTAAAAGTTCTTACCCTATATTGTTTATGGAATAACATGGGAAAATACCCATCGTATTATAGAGTTGCCTCTATGTATAACAAGTACTAGGAAATAAGAAAGAAGAGGAGCCTTCAGGCAAATGACTTTAGAACCTATTGCAATGGGAACACTTGCGGGTTACCCTGGGAAGTCAAGTCTTTCCACCTGAGGCACTAAAAGGCTTTTCCATCAGGTGTTCCATTGCCTCCACTGACCCAGTAGTTTCTGGTTTTAAAGGGGGAGACAGTAATAGTCAGTTGGGTCCCGCATTAGGAATCCTCACAGTGAGGTCCAGGGCTGAAGACACAACAATGCTGACTCCTTCGGAAAGGCTGTCAAACTCCCCTCCACAGAAATGTAGTGCACATTTCTGTGGTTTTTAATATATTCTCAGAATTCAACACTTCAATTCTCCTTTAATAAAATACAACACCCATCATCAGGCATTCACATCCAAAAGAAAATGAAGTTTAAAAAAAAAAAAACTCCTGTGCGAAATAAATATGAAAATTCTGAAGTTTTCATATAAATAGAATCAGAAAGCCAATGGTAGAGGCAGGGTACCACGTGAGGGGAGGAAGTGCATGATGACAGTGGCTTAGAACAGGGCCATGGGACATGGCTAAGCTGTGAGTGACAAGGGAGCAGCAACACTCTAAGCATGGTAGCCACTGACTGGGCAGACCCAACTCTCATGGTATCTTCTTTACCCACAGGCCAAGGCTCAGCCAGACCCATCAGGACAACACACACAGGTCAGGTACGAGGCAGCCTCGTCCATGTGAAGGGCACCGATGTAGGGGTCCACACCTTCCTGGGAATTCCCTTTGCCAAGCCACCTCTTGGATCGCTGCGGTTTGCACCCCCAGAGCCTCCTGAACCATGGGATGATGTAAGGGATGGGACTTCTCACCCAGCCATGTAAGTTCTCCTAGGGTCCAAGGGTCTTCAGGCCCTGACGTGAGCAGGTGCTGTAAGCCATGGGGACTTGCAACCATTCTTCCATTAGCACCATTAGTACCGTTAGCAGTACCTAATGTTTCTTGCCACTAAGGGAGGCAGTATCTGGAAGAAACCTGGGTGGCTCTACCAACTTTGAAAAGCCCCTGGACACTAGCAAATAAAGCATGATCCTGAGAAGGACATCAGTGTTGGGTTCTTGGGTTCTATACCACTGGATGAAACAACAGTCCAGTGTTAGTGTAAGTGCACCTGGAAATGATAGGACAGATGAGAATCCCTGGATTTAGAATAAGGTGGGTCCCATTACCATATGGGAAAGCTAAATACCAATCATTGGTGGATGGCTGGGGCAGAGCACATCCTATATACAGGCCTGAATGGGTAATTAAGAAGTAGTGACTGCCATCTGCATCAATGATTCCCATAGAGAATACTGAGTCACATTTCCTACCCTCGGGAAGAGTGGGATCCAAGGCCCTCAAAACCAGGGAGTCTTTTTGGAAGGCTGGGCTCTATTTCAGCTTCCCTAGAGGCCAAGACTTGAACTGGGTGGGAAGGACTTTAGAGAAGGATCATGGTGAACCAGAATTAGGGAGTGAAGAGTATGGAGGTCCTCAGGAGCCAATCTAGGAGCTAGTTTGAGCAGCACACAGTTCCTGAAATAACTGCCATTGTTACCAGGTGTCTTCAGAAAGCTGACACAATGAATGGGCTGGTCATGTCCCTGTTGAATCTGACCCCACCTACAGTCTCCATGTCTGAAGACTGCCTTTACCTCAGCATCTACTCACCTGCCCATGCTCATGAAGGTTCTAACCTGCCTGTGAGTATCAGGTCATGGTCCACAGTGGTCAAGAGAACATTTATCCTGCAGGAATACTAGAAAAAACAAGATTGACATGGGCCCCACTGAGTGTGAATCCTCTTGTGATTCACCTTCATGTGAATCCTCTCACTGTTGAGTACAATAAGGCTTTCTCAGTCAGGGCAAGCATCTGGCTCATGAGTAGGGGAACACAGAGTCTTGATGTCTCCAAGAGTCAGAATATGTGGCCAAGAAGTTTGGCCAACAACCAGAGGCTAATTCTATTAATTCCCAAACCAGAGACCAAACAAACTCACAGGCCCATGAGATGGCACACAATGTGGAGGCACTTGCCATGCAAGCCTGGTGATATGGCTTCAATCTCCAACACCCATGTAGAGGTGGAAGGAGAGAACTGACTCCAGATATAGGTCCTCTGACTGCCACACAAAAGGGCTGCTTTTTCTGGCTACACTTGAATACCTCCTCTAGGCACAGATCATGACAATGTGGTATGTATCAGTGGCGGCGGCTGCAGAGTATTAGACAACGTAGAGGATAATATAGAATATGATACGATATAATATATATTATATTATAATATAATAATATGATATAATATAACATAACATATATAACATAACATAACATAACATAACATAACATAACATAACATAACATAACATAACATAACATAACATAAAAGGTTGGATAATATAGAGTATTGTTTAGGGCAGGAAGAAACTAATTGATACCTGTCTTGATTTCCCTAGGTGATGGTGTGGATCCATGGTGGTGCTCTGGTTGTAGGCATGGCTTCTTTGTATGATGGATCCATGCTGGCAGCCATTGAGAATTTGGTAGTGGTCACTATTCAGTATCGCCTGGGGGTCCCGGGCTTCTTCAGGTGAGCCTGGGGCTGGCCTGGCCTGTGCTGTGCTGTGCTGTGCTGTGCTGTGCTGTGTGGAGAAGATGGACAGAAATAGGACAGCCCTGTGACTCCTTCCCTTCCACTTCTCAGCACTGGAGACCAGCATGCCAGAGGCAACTGGGGCTTCTTAGACCAAGTGGCCGCCCTACGCTGGGTCCAGCAAAACATCGCCCACTTTGGAGGCAACCCTGACCAGGTCACCATTTTTGGCGAGTCAGCAGGTGGCACAAGTGTGTCCTCACATGTTGTGTCTCCCATGTCCCAAGGACTCTTCCGTGGAGCCATCATGGAGAGTGGGGTGGCCCTGCTGCCTGACCTTATCTCTAACACTTCTGAGGTGATCTACACAGTGAGTTCTGTCAACAATCCCAGATCTTGCCCACCACCTCAATCCTTCCCAAAGAAACTCTGGTTTTCTATCTTCTCTATGGGAATAACAAGGACCATGGAGGTGTTCTGCTTTTTTTTGACTGAGAATTGCTGAGCCCCTCAAAGCTCAAAATCCATACCCAGGGTCTCATCCAGGCTATTTCTCTGGCCAGCAAAGCTATACCCAAAACACCCCATCATCTTCAGAACCACGTGAGTAGGTAGGACAGCCCCTTTAAATGTCACAGGGAAGCTGTAACAATTTTATACCTGCCATATGAGACTTTCTGAGTACCCCCACTCAGCTGGGGTGTTAGGAAAACTCCTCTCCATGCCTAGCAGGAGAGCTAGGCTCTCCTGGTCCTGGACATAAGGATAAGCTATCTGGTCCTTGTTCCTTTATAGATGGTGGCCAACCTGTCTGGATGTGAGCAGGTAGACTCAGAGTCCCTGGTGAACTGCCTCCGGGGCAAGAGTGAAGAGGAAATACTTGCTATCAACAAGGTCAGGTGCAATAGTCATGGGTGAGGAGAAAGTGTATTGGGCAGAATGCTTACTTAGCCTTCAACCTTTCAGGCACTTATATCTCATCTCTAGGCCATGCTGTCCAATGGTGCTGGATGTGAACAGACAGCCTAGGCATATGGCATCTTTAGGGATGAGCCAGGAATGGGTATAGGCCTCCACAGAATACCAGAAAATATCCAAAATATGACATTGTTGCTTGACCTTGAATGTCTCCTCAGGCCTTCAGGATTATGCATGGTGTTGTGGATGGAGCCTTTCTGCCCAGACACCCACGGGAGTTACTGGCCTCTGTTGATTTTCAACCTGTCACCAGCATCATTGGTGTCAACAATGATGAGTTTGGCTGGCTTCTGTCCACAGTGAGGTCCTCCCCTGTGCAAGCCTGGGAAGCCCTGGGAGGATTATAGGGATTTGAAACACAAGACCATCCAACCCCAACTCAAAACCTTCCCCCTGCCTCCCAGGGAATGAACATCTCTGACACCATGAAGGATAGAAAGACCTTTCAGGCTCACCTGCGGAATTTATCGACACAGTTGGTAAAACCCCTGGTGTTGGTCTCCAGTGAACAGGAAGCTATCAGATACTTGCCCAAGCTGAGACACTCATGCAAATGGGATGTGTTCCTATTTTTCTATTTGGGTCCATCAGTATGAAGAGCAATGAACTTCGGAACTTTCTCCCTATGCCTCATGACATATATCTCAGGCTCCATCTCCTTGCCCTGAAGCTGTTGCCTTCCTGACTCAGACCTTACCTAACTGCCTCTCCCTGTTCCCCCTGTACCAGATGTTGCCTCCAGAGTTTGGGGACCTCTTGATGGAGGAATACATGAGAGACACAAAGGATCCCCAGACCCTCCAAGCTCAATTCCTTGAGATAATGGCAGACATCATCTTCGTCATACCTGCACTACAAACTGCACACTTTCAAAGTAAGCATGCCTGGTACTAAGCCTGATGCCGAGGGGCCATGCTAGAGCTGTGGATCCCAGGTGAGTTCTATGAAGTCCAGGTCTCTATTCACGTCAGACAGAATTTCATTCTGGGGCCCTTATTACCCTGGAACGCATGGCAAACTGCCTGTTCTACCCTCCTGGATGCATTGATTATAGGCATGAGCCACCATATCTGACCCTACTCTTGTCTTTATTGGGCTCCTGGTACCAGTCTTTTGATGGTTTTTATTTTAGTGAATCTCTATGCTTCTCTAGGTGACAAACATATCCTTCGTTTTACAGATGATGTCAGTGATAGTGACTTGCCTAAACTACTCAGCTGAGAAAGCCAGGTCATGATTTAATCAAGCCCTTGAGCTACAGTCTTAACCTCATGATGAGGCTACTTTCTTGCCACCTGGATTCCAGCCAGCTATCTTGCAACCATGGATGAGGAAGAAGAGTTTCAAGTGAGGGGGTCCCTATGTCACAATGTGTTTTTACCCCCAGGTTCCCATGCTCCTGTCTATTTTTATGAGTTCCAGCATCGGCCCAGCTTCTTCAAGGATGTCAAGCCACCCCACGTGAAAGCTGACCATGGTGATGAGATCCCTTTTGTCTTTGGATCTTTCTGTGGCAACATGGGTGAGTCTTCCTCAATCCCCAGGAACTGGGTTGCTGGGAGATGTCTAGTGCTCACAGTCTAGCTGAGGAAACTAAGACTCGGAATGATTAAGATCAGGCATGTACGTCTAACACCTCAAATAACCACAAGAAGACTAGAAGCCAACCCATTTCCTATTGCAGACTGTGCCCCGCCTACTTGTGCCCACTCTGGCCAACCACAGTGCCTGGCATGAGAACTCATGAAGATGATTCAAAGGCATAATTGTTCCCTAAACGACTTTGAGTGTAGCATGGAAATGGGGTCCTCAGATTCAAGAATGAACCCAAGGTAGATCCAAGCAGGGACTGGGTCACATAAAGGAAGACTGAGGAAGAGGAGATCCTAGATCCTGAGTGGTGAGGGAGGGAGGGACACAGCATTGGGGCACAGGGTCAGGGGACACCTGAGATAGTGAGTGTGGGACATGAGCAGGCAACTGAAGACCTTATCTTCTACCTGTCTACCTGTCTACCAGTTGACCTCACTGAGGAAGAGCAGACGCTGAACAAAATGATAATGAAGTACTGGGCCAATTTTGCCCGAAATGGGTAAGAAGACATCCCTCCCCTCAATTTCCCAGGGACAAGTACCCACACGAGGCTCCCCTCCTGGGCGATGACCTCGTTGACATGCACAGATCTTTCATAACATGAGAGACTTCTCCCCAATGCCACAACAATCCAGACAGAGATGTCCTAATGAATTCCAGCCACTGGTCATCTCCCAGTGACCGGGAAAATAAGGACAGTGGTAGTACTAGTCTTTAGAGCTTGCCTCTACCAGGTGACCCTGCTGCAGTGGAGCACTAGTGAGTGGCACTTCTCTAGATCAGGGCACTTTACCGTCTGTAAGCTCCCACAATGCGATAGCCTTCAGGCTACTGCCCTGACCTGAATCAAGGGATCTGGTCCAAGAAGGACTCATAGTAACCTCAATCCTGCCCTGCTGGGAGGGCATTTCAACAGGAACCCCAATGGTGATGGCCTGTTCTACTGGCCAGTGTTTGACCAAGAAGAGCAGTACCTGCGGCTGGACATCCAGCCTGCCAAGGACCATGCCCTGAAGGACAACAGATTCCAGTTCTGGACCAAGATCCTGCCCCAGAAGATCCAGGAGCTTAATGGTGTTAAAAACAAGCACACAGAGCTGTAATGCCCTGTATTGGGGACAGAACTGTCCTGAGTGCAAGTCAGACCATCCCTGCATGCTTACATACCCTTTGAAGACATGGGATTTAGTCCAACTCTCATAGCCACTCATCTATTTTCATTTATCCATTCAGACACCATTTATAAAGAAGCCAAGGCATGATGTTCATTGCCAAGCCTACCAGAAGTCTAGTTTTATTATACATACAGTAAGTCCCTCAGGAAGGTGTAGATGACTGAGCCACAGTGGTCACTACCTTCCTGTACCCTTCATAGGACCACAGAGCATAGGTCTCTTCCTTCTTCACTTCCTTATGTCATCTCTGTCCATCTTATCTTCTTTCTCCTCTAACTTCCCAGCCCCTCTCCCACATTCATTGTTATGTTCATTGAGAAGAATTGGGTAACTGAGCCACATTTCTGCTTCTCAACAAGTAATCTTATATTCTATAAATAGAAGCCAGTATAGATGTTGGACTCTAGAATCCCCAGGGTCTTGGTTCAATAAAGTGACTATAACAAAAAGTATCACAGCTACAGAAGTTTATTGCTGTCTGTTTAAGAAGATGAAAGTCTTGGTCAAGGTATCATCTGATTTGGCATCTAGTGAGGACTTTCTTTCTGGTGTGTAGGTGGCTCTTTCTCACCATGACCTTCCCACCACAAACCAGTAACCAAATTCACATACGCCTCCTCTGCAAGAGCCCTGTATTACACCATCTTCTGCTGCTTTTTCAAAGGATCTAAACCTGCTACTACTTAAAAAAATACCTATTTCTTCCAGACTTGGTGTTACAGGTAGTTGTAAGCCATGTGATATAGGCACTGGAAACTGAACTCAAAGTCCTCTGGAAAAACAGCAACTGTTTTTAAAAACTGAGCCATCTCTCCAAACCTAGATCAATATTTGAGATAGAAAAAAAATCTTAGTATTTGGAGGCTGGAGAGATGGCTCAGTAGTTAAGAGTACTTGCTCCAATGACACTGTCAGCAGAACAAAACAACAGTCTGCCGATTGGAAAAAGATCTTCACCAACCCTACATTCGATAGAGGACTAATATACAGAATATATAAAGAACTCAAGAAATTAGACACCAACAAACCAAATAATCCAATTTAAAAAATGGAATGGAGAGCTAAGCAGAGAATTCTCAACAGAGGAATATAGAATTGCAGAGAAACACTTAAAGAAATGTTAAACATCCCTAGTCATTAGGGAAATACAAATCAAAACAACTCTGAGATTCCATCTTACATCTATCAGAATAGCTTCCATCAAAAACTCAAGTGACAATATATGCTGGAAAGGATGTAAAGAAAAGAGAACCCTCCTCCATTGCTGATGGGAGTGCAAATTTATAAAACTACTTTAGAAATCAGTCTGGCACTTTCTCAGAAAATTGAGAACAGCACTACCTCAAGATCCAGCTATACCACTCCTGGGTATACCAGGATCCAGCTATACCACTCCGAAAGATGCTGAAGTATACAACAAGGACATTTGCTCAACCATGTTCATAGCAGCTTTATTTGTAATAGCCAGAACCTGGAAATACCTGGATGTCCCTCAACGGAGGAATGAATACAGAAATTGATGTATATCTACACAATGGAATACTACTCAGCTATTAAAAAACAAGGAAATCATAAAATTTGCAGGCAAATGGATAGAACTAGAAGAGATCATCTTGACTGAGGTAACCCAGAAACAGAAAGACAGGCATGGCATACACTCACTAAGAAGCCTATGTTAGTCTTATAATATAGGACAGCCATCTACAGACCTAAAGAAGCTAAACACTAAGGAGGGCACTCAGGAGGCTGCTTAAACCTCATTTAGAATAGCAAACAGGATAGATACCAGAAGTGGTGGAAAAGAGGAAGCAGGATGGGAGTCTACTATAGAGGGTCCTCTTGTCACACCTATGCCAGTGTTGCTATAGCAGCATATGCTACAGGGCAGGGGATACGCTTTCTTCGGAAATTCGCCCCCTGGAAGGTCCCTGGCAGACTCACCCCACTTGGAAAAGAGATGTGTTCTGAGATTTCTATGCTTTTTCAGTTGTGGTTCTGGGGCTGGAATAATGAATTCTTTGATCTTTCTCTGTGACTCCTGAAACAGCACAACTATTTTTATGAAGAAATTTATTATTAATAGATTGTTAAAGGCTTTAATAAAAATAATAAGTTTAAGAAAAGTAATGAATTAGATTTAGTATTAATAGGCATTAAGAATAGTGAAAAAATAATAGGCTCCTTCTTAAGAAATAATAGCATGAGAGGTGCAGCTGGTGGGAGTTTCCCCTCCCTTCAGTGCCTTGTTTCTAAGGAAAATTATAAATCTTGGTCAGGACATATGGGAGGATGGTTAACAAAGGTGTAATTAGATTTTGATATAGAGAGGGACTTTGGCAGGCATCTGACTTAGCTCCTGACTTTCCTCTTCACTGGTTAGCAATAATGAAACCATATTTGAGGTTTCTTTTTCTTTGTTTGCTCTGATCAAAAAGTTTTTAGGCCAAGATTTCTTGTGGGCACTGATTTATGTTTGACTGCATTTTGAGTTAAAATGTAAACTTTGTATTCTTGGTAAAAGTCTGAATGTTCTGGGAAGTATGCCAATTTTAAGGTGCCTTTTGTATAAAAATACTAGCTTGATTTCAGTAAAGTTGCAGCAGAGTCAAAACCATCAAGGTGTCTCTGTCTGTCAATTCATCACCGAAACCGTGTCTTCCTGTCCAAAGCCTTGTTCTCCCGAGGACGACAGGAGCCTGACTGGGCCGGTCCGGGGCATCCTCTGAAAAGATTCACCCAACGGGGGATCGAAGCAGATGCTGAGACTCACAGCCAAACTTTGGGCAAAGAGCAGGGAGTCTTAGGAAGGAAAAGAAGGGGGTGATTAGAGGGACATGGAGGGGACAGGAGCCCTACAAGGAGACCAACAAAACTAAAAGATCTGAGCCCAGTGACTGATGTACCAACAGAGGACCATGCATGGAAAGGACCTAGACCCCTGCTCAAATGAGGCTGATTGGCAGCTCAATCTCCATGTGGATCTTTGAGTGAGGGGATCAGGGGCTGCTCTATCATTAACTCAGTTGACTGCTCTCTGATCACTTGCCCCTGATGATGCAGCCTTGCCAGGCCACAGAGGAAGAGGATCCAAGCAGTCCTGATGAGACTTAACAAGCTATAGGCAGATGGCAATAGTGGAGAACTCCCCCTTTCAGTAGACTAGGGGAAGGAGTTGAGGGGAAAACAGAGGGAGGGTAGGACTCGGGGAGTTGAGGGAGGGGGCTTCAATTAGGATATATAATGAATAAATTGTGAAGAAAAAAAAATTTTTAAAGAGTGCTTGTTGCTCTCCCAAAGAACTCAAGTTTGATGCCTAGTATCCATGTCAACAATTTACAGCTACCTATAACTCCAGCTTCAGAGAATCCAAGGCTTTCTTCTAGTCTTTGGGGCACCTTCACACTCACCCACACAGACACACAGACATATAATCCAAAAGATTTAAAAGGAAGGAAGGAAGGAAGGGAGGAAGGAAGGAAGGAAAGAGAAAGAAAGAAAGAAAGAAAGAAAGAAAGAAAGAAAGAAAGAAAGAAAGAAAGAGAGAGAGAAGGGAGGGAGGGAGGGAGGGAGGGAGGAAGGAAGGAAGGGAGGGAGGAGAAAGGAAAGGAAGGAAGGGAGGGAGAAGAAAGGAAAGGAAAGGAAGGAAGGAAGGAAGGAAGGAAGGAAGGAAAGAAGGAAGAGAAAGGAAGAAAGAAAGAAAGAAAGAAAGAAAGAAAGAAAGAAAGAAAGAAAGAAAAGAGAGGAAGGAGAAGAAGGAAGGAAGGAAGGAAGGAAGGAAGGAAGGAAGGAAGGAAGGAAGGAAGGAAAGAAGGGAAAGAAAGAAAGAAAGAGAAGGAAGGGAAGGAGAAAGGAAAGGAAGGAAGGAAGGAAGGAAAGAAGAAAGGAAAGAAAGGAAGGAGAGGAAGGAAGAAAGGGAGGGAGGGAGGGAAAGAAAGAAAGAAAGAAAGAAAGAAAGAAAGAAAGAAAGAAAGAGAGAGAGAGAGAGAAGGAAGGAAGGAAGGAAGGAAGGAAGGAAGGAAGGAAGGAAGGAAGGAGAAAAAAGAAAGCTAGATGTGGTACCCACATACTATTTAACCCCAGCACTTATGAAGCAGAATTAAGGTAAGGAGACCACTGTTAGATCAAGGCCAGCCTGATGTACTTAGAAAGTTCCAGGACAGTCAGGGCTACATAGTGAGACCCTGTCTTACAGACAGAGGGGGTGAGAATATGTGATCACACCCCATGCTTTCATTTTTGTAGGCTAATACCTGAAGTTTCTGAGACAAGGAACAAAAGTATATTTAACTTTAAAAAAAAAAAAAAACATGTTGTATTATTCATGCATAGACTATGAGAAATAAGAAATGTGCTGAATGGACCTGATAAACTTTGAGTTCTGAGAGAAAGAGAGATTTTAACCAGGCCTGATGATATATCCCTACAATCCCAATACTCAAGAGGTAAGGACAAGAGAATTGGGAGTTTCAAAGCAAACTAGCCTCTGCCACATGTAAAATCTGACGTAGAACTGACTTCATCATATCCCGTCCCCAAAACTGCAAAGTAAATAATATTTTGCCCTGTACAAATGTCCAGACAAAGTACAGTTATTCCCTAGTATCCATCAGGATTGGCTCCAGGACCTAAATAGTCCCAACCAGCTATTGGTCCCGCTATCTTGTTATAGTTGAGGCAGGACAGCTCCAGATAGGGGCCACCATGTCACAGTGTGTCCTCGGCCCCAGGTTCCCAAGCCCCATCTTCTTCTGAGCTCCACCACCCACCAACGCACCATTGCGAGCAGTTCTTAAATTCTTCCCTATATCAGGAAACTTGCCACCAAGTCCCCACAATGCCTTTGGTTTGCTTGGTTCACTGCCCTGGCCCAAATAAAGAATATAATCCAAGCTCAACAGGGATCTGAATGATCATTAGTCCTGCCCTGCTGGGAGAGTATATCCACAGGAACCCTTATACTGAGGCCCTACCTCACTGGCCTGTCCATGGCCATGGAAGCAGTAACTGGGTATCCAGGCTGCAATGAGCCATGCCCTGATGGTCGTCAGGTTTGAATTCTGGACCAAGATCTCATCCCCCAAAGATCCAGAAGTTAATTAGTGGCAGCTGAAAGAAGTCACAAATAATTACAGTGGCCTGTGTCGCTTAGGAATGTATCCCTGAATGCAGGTGGGGTCAGCCTGAAGCATCCAAATGCTCTGACACTGCTCATGAGCCCCTTGGCCCATAGAAAACTGAAGTTTCACACTTGGATGATCACTCCCCACTGACAAGGAAATTGTCCTTTAGACTCTTCTTAAATACAGAATTGTGTGGTTGGATTCCAGGGGCTGAGTTGTGGCCTTGTCTCCCGGGGAGCCTCTAGGAGCAGAAAGATCATCTTGCCTTTCATGGCCCCTACAACCTCCAGACCATAAGCATCCCTCACTCTCCACTGGCATTCTCTTGAGTAAATTTGCTTCTCTCTTGTCCCTTAAACTTCCTTCCTCTCCACCACAGAGAGGAGGCAAACACCACTCACTAACCTTGTCTTACATTTTTTTCTCCTTGTATAAAAATAACAAATTGTGCTCACTTTGCCTCTTTGTTCCCCTAAAGCATTTTTCTGTCTTTTAAAGGTTGTAACATTCATTGCATAGACTCTCGGACTCTCCCATACAGCTGCCTCTGACCAACTTGCCTTCTTGGTTTATTTTTTTTCCTATATTATACTATATTATATTACATTATATTATATTATATTATATTATATTATATTATATTATATTATATTATATTATATTATATTATATTATATTATATTATATTATATTATATTATATTATATTATATTATTATTTATTACAATTTATTCATATTGTATCTCAGCTGTAGCCCCCTCCCTTATGTCTTCCCTGTTCCACCCTCCCTCTTCTCCTCCAATACCCCTCCCCCAGTCCACTGATAGCTGAGGCCCTCCTCCCTACTATCTGACCCTAGTCTGTCAGGTCTCATCAAGACTGCCTGGTCCTCTCTCTGTGGCCTAGTAAGGCCACCTCACCAGGGAAAGGTGATCAAAGAGCAGGCAACCAAGTTCTTGCCAGTGACTGCCCCTGCTCCCCTTACTAAAGAATCCCCACGGAGACTGAGCTGCCCATGGGCTACATCTGAGCAGGGGGTCTAGGTCCTCTCCATGCATGGTCCTTGGTTGATTCATCAGTCTCTGCAGGCCCCACTGGGCCAAGATTTTTTGGCTCCGTTGGTTTCCTTGTGGGGCTCCTGTCTGCTCCAGGCCTTCTATCTCCCTCTTCCTAGGCTGGTGGAGATCCTCTTCTTTCATACACTGCCCTGGAGCTAGGCACTGAACCCCATGACCTTTGGGTTGAAAACGAAGTTGCCCACCTTGAACACCAGGGGACAGGCAAGGATAGGATAGCATTCAGCCCTGGCTCAGGTGCCAAGAGCTCTTCCTTTGATCTTCTGTAGCACTTGCTGCAAATGTACCTGTGTGTGGGCTTCATTTCTCCTGATGCACAGGACACGTGACCAAAAGGAAAGCTCAAGGGACAGTTTTTAGATTCTTTTAGTAGCTTTATTTTGTAAGGACTTTGTTTGTGGGTTGCTTACATACATTTGAATTTGTCCATTTTAAACTTTTAATTTGAATAATTGAGGCGTGTAACTACCCCCAATGTTTCTTTCTCTTCAGGAAGTTTCCCCGACCCTTAATGTTAATCATTGCCCTGAACTCTGCTCCCTAGCAAGCACCTCACTGTTTTCCATGGCTGTTTGTCTTATCTGTCATAATATAAAGGGAATTATCTGTGACTAGCTCTGTCCTCACCTAATGCTTTTGAGATTTAAGGAGCAGCTCTCACTGCTGGCTCCCTTGTGTGTTCACACCATCCTCTGCCCTCTCACCAACTGACACACACCTGAGTGAATGGAGGCAGCGTATTAATGACTTTGTGTAAGCAGAATGTAACATTCCCATTTCTTCTGGATAAACTGAGAGTAGACCTGCTGAGCCATATAACAAGTGAGTGTTCATTCAACTCAAGGAAAAAAAACAAAAAAGCTGCCCAACTCTCTTCCAAGATGACTCTTTGATCCCCTGCCAGCTGCTGCATGTCCTGTCTCAGACTCCCAAGTGATAAGATAACAAGTGGGTACCACCGTGCCTCATGATCTTATGGTTTTAAATCTGATTTTAATGGATGGGCATGTAGGGGTGTCTCATTGCAGATGTTTTCTTGAATCTCCTTCTCTATACCATACTTCTGTAGATGTAAACACAGAGTCACACCACACACATAGTCACACACACACACAAAATCATACCACACACAAAGTTATACACCACACACAATCACACACATACCATATACACACATACACACAGACATAGCACACACACTACACTCACACAAAGTCACACACAGTCACAAACACCACACATACACACTCTACACACACACACAGTCACACACACAGCATGTTGTGTTGGGGGTGGAAGCCGAGAAAACTTACTTCAGAGACAGAAGCTTAAAATGCATGCTTTATTTTCTTCGTGTGCAGGGAAGCAGCCAGTTCCGGATCTGAACTGCGTCACAGCAGGGAAGCTGTATTGCATATTTAAAGGGTGAAAACCTTAAGGTCAGCGGGCATTGTTGAGTGTCAGGGTCATCCAATCAATTTTAACATTATGGGTTAACCAAGGGAGTTTCTCTCGGTGGCAGGGCCTGATCCAGGACATCTGGCCTCAAGGCCTTTAATTATTTTCCAAGAAGGCCCTTAATTTATACTCCTAGATATTTGACCCAGGGCCCAAGGTGATAAAGAAACAAAGAAGTGGGTCATCTGACTATAGTAAATTAGGGCTTTGTAATCAATATATTTTTACAATTTAGGCACCTCAATTAAGGTAACAAAAGCAAGTTTTACAGTTTTTTTACCAGTTAACAATTAGGAAAGTGTTTCAAGGAGCTGGGTAGGAAATGGCTCTGCAAGCTTGAGAATGTGAACCTAGTTTGACTTTGCTAGCAAACTGGGGGAGAAAATGTAATCATTGCTTCCAGAAGGCTGGGCTCTGGTGGCTGCCTCCTTACACACACAGTCTCTCTCTCTCTCTCTCTCTCTCTCTCTCTCTCTCTCTCACACACACACACACACACACACACACACACCATACCACAGAAATGCCCTGAGAGTCTTCTTTATTCCACTTGTCTCTGGTCTTGGCCACTGGTGATTTGGGGCCTCTGAATGACGGTACAGTACGTGGCAGAGCGTGGGAACCTTCCCACAGCTGTGGCACATGTAGCTCAGGATTAGGAAGAAGTACTAGTAACACCTGCAAAGTCGCTGAGGAGGGACCCAGACAGCACTGGGCGCTCCGAATGCAGAGCTAGGATGCAGAGGCCATGACTAGTTTTCTGTAGGTGTTACAGGCTCTTTGAGATGGAGCCCCACGTCGCTTCCTCAAAGAATTCAGGCTTGTAGGCAGAGCCTGGGCTATTTATATCCTCACAGCCTTCTGAAACTAGGAAGTAAACTTTTAAAGATTTGGCAAGGAAGGAGATAAGTGACCTTGAACTGGATTTCAACTATGGGGTGAGGGCCCTTGGGAAGTGCTAGTTTCCAGTGCATTTCAAATGAAAAAGAGCCACGGCTGTGCAGGAATGCGCTGTGCAGAACCGCAGACTGTGAACTGGAAAGAACGGGGACCTTCAGTGAGGACCTAGTCAGCTATAGGTCCTGGAATCAAGAAGGTGTTTCCTTGTCAAATGAAAGGCTCGCTCAGAGTAAATGAGTAAACATTGCTCTAATCATTCCCTTTCACCCCAACCAAAGGTCAGTTCCATTTCTTTATCTGTGGACATTCTAACTGTTCACCCCATGAACTTTCGGGTTCTGTTTCCACCTTTCTGCCTGGCTTCTCCACTCCAGTCAGAGCTTTCTGCTCTCTCATCTTTACCCCTAACACTTCTATTGGACTCATGGCTGCAAGAACAGTGATTGTCGTGACTCCCTCAGGAGTGTGGAGGACTCCTGGCCTCTTGGAGAAAGCTTCTGCCCCACACTCCTGCAGATTCTTCCTTGCCGACCTCATCTGATCTTGCTGATTAGGTGGAGAGAAATTTCTAGAAGAGAGTAGAAGGAGAGAGAAAATAGCAGATGCTCTTAGCTTTGCTGTAGAGAGAAAAAAATGAGGCAAAGAGCAGTTTGGGTATTTTAGTATAGTTTTGTTTGCTGGTGGTGCTAGGGATTGACCCCTAGGCCTCACACATGCTGTGCAAGCATTCTACCACTGAGCTATAGCCCCAGATGTGAGCAGGATGCTTCCTAAATGAGGGTGAGTTTACAGTAGAAGCTGGAGGTGCAGGAAAAGCGTCCAGGGAAAATAGGAGGGGGCTTGGGGCTGGTGTCCATGAATGGGCTTCAGATGGAGGCCAGAATGAAGCAAACAAGAATGATAGGGTAAGAAATTCTGTAGAGCCAAGAGTGGGTGACACATGCCTGTAATGCCAGCACTCGGGGAGGCAGGGACAGGCAGATCTCTGTGAGGTTGAGGCCAGCCTAGTCTACAAAGTGAGTCAGGGAAGAAAGAAAGAAAGAAGGAAGGAAGGAAAGAAGGAAAGAAGGAAGGAAGGAAGGAAGGAAGGAAGGAAGGAAGGAAGGAAGGAAGGAAGGAAGGAAGGAAGTTTGGTAGACATTTGTGACCTGGTGCTAACTCCACTTATTTGACCTTGAGCAAGGGTACCTTGACATTTCCTGCTCAAACATGGAGAGGCCTGCCTATACAGCACTCAAGATGAGAAGGGTAGGAGCATGGGTCTGAGGCTAGCCTGGTTTAATTGTGAGACCTTGTATCAAAATACATATGTGGGGCACTGGAGAGAAATCATATTGGTAAAGAGCACTGGCTACCTTTCCAAAGGACCTGGGCTTGACTGCCAGCACCCATATGGTAACTCACAACCCTCTTTTACTCCAGTTCCAGGGGATCCAACACCCTTTGCTGACTTCTGAGGACACTGTATACACCTGATGCACAGACGTACATGCAGGCAAAACACCCATACACATAAAAGAAAAATAAAGAAATATTTTTTTTAAATACACACATATACATATTCTGTTTAGGACCACAGGAAAGACACCTTGTGAACCCAGAAATCATGAAGGGTGTCCCTTCTACAACAACAGTCAAGGGACTATTGGTTCTCTGTTTTAAAGTCTGGGCTGGGATTCCTTCTACCAGCTCACTGAACAGACTCACCTCAGGGTTAACACATCCAGGTGACATGCTCAGCAGCTTCTGCGACCCAAGCAGGCTTAGGCCACATTTACACTCTCAGCACACCTTCGTGGTAGGCATATGGCACCAAGACTATGCACATTCAGAATGCAAATAAGGGGTCTCGGGAGCTTGGTGGATTTTTAAAGCCAGTGAAGCCAGACAGAAGTTTGCTGCAGCTCTCAGAGTTCCTCAGGGCTCTCCCAATAAGGTAATGCCTAACTGGAGCCGGAATTTACCTTGAGACTTACAGGAAGCTCAGGGTCTAGCTGACCTGCAGTTCAGCCACTGCAACTGTAAGTGTGCAGCACCATGCCAGGCAAGAGCTGGGCACGAACACCAGGGGGTGCCATATCGTAGGACTCTCCAGGAGCCGCTGCTGGTCCTGCTCCAGGAGCAGCCAGAACACAAAACGCTTAATTCCAGAGCTGGTCACCAACAAACTGAGGCAGAACAAGTTACTTTCCACAAGAGAAGAGGTACTACAAACAGCAGGTCATCTCCAGCCTTCCATAGCTTCTTCCGGTGTGCTAAGAGAAGTATGGGGAGGATGGTACAAGCTGGGTCCAGTGTCCTAGTCCGGGTGACATTTCTGCTCCTGGCATTTCCTGCCACAGTCGCTGGTAAGACACACTCCCTGACCCTGTGAAGTAGGGCTTCCAGCTGGGTAGGAAACCTGAGGAAGGAGGGGATAAGAGTGAGGCAGGAACCAGTAAGAGTGAACAGCCCTCTCTGGGAAGGGGTCCAACGTAGAAGAATGAAGGCAGTGTGTATCCTGTCTGAGCGGGAGCCTGTGTTATCAGTATGCTTATGGGGGTGGGGTGTTTATCTGTTTTCTATGGACTGAACCCAGATCCTTAACATACTAAGCAAGCTCTACCACTGAGCTGTATCCCTAGTCTCATCTTTGTGTTTTAAAGGGACACAAGACTTACTTTAATCAGTCATGGTAAGACAAGTAAGAGTGTCATAAAGGAAGCTTACTCACGATTCCCTGAAAAAAAAAATGGGGGTACAGATCACACACACACACACACCATGAGGCCTTACAGGGAAGCCACCAGATAACAGGACAAGTAAGGGGGAGCTGGGAGAGACTCTTTCTTCTTACTTTCACAAGTGGGCAAGAACAAGCAATGCAGGCTCCAGATGTCAAAGCATCTGGACATGGAAAATAACAAGCTGGACTATCACACATTAGTTAGCATGTGAGTAACCTGAGGTTCGAGTGGGCAGCACGTCTGATTCAGCCTAGAGGTTGTGACACAAGGTAAGGAAGAGGAAGTCAGGGACAGTCGCGGAGATAAAAGCCATGTGTGCTAACACACGCTTGTAATACTAGCCCTGAGGAGGTAGAAGCAGGAGAATCAGGGGTTAAAGGCCAGCCTCCATTACATAACAATTTCAAGGCCAGGCTGAACCTGTCTCAAAAAACAAATAATAATCATGAAGGTAGCCACTTGCTCGAGAACTCAACCACGATGCTGTGTGGAGAATGCTCAGAATAGAACCCCCGCAAAACAGACACTGGAGAAGCAAGTGTCCCCTTGCTCTAAAAGTCCATCTTTTCATCCATCCCCTCATAGAGGCTGTAGACTGGCCCAACAACCCCTCTCTCCTGTTCTCAGGATCCAAAGTCGCTCAGCCTGAAGTGGACACACCCCTGGGTCGTGTTCGAGGCCGGCAGGTGGGTGTGAAGGGTACAGACCGTGTGGTGAATGTATTCCTGGGCATTCCCTTTGCTCAGGCGCCTCTGGGACCTCTGCGGTTCTCAGCCCCACTCCCACCGCAGCCCTGGGAAGGTGTGAGGGACGCCACCACGGCTCCCCCAATGTGAGTACCCCTGCAAGAGGCGGGCCAGTGGGTAGGGTGGTGGCCAGGGCGTGTGGAGCTCATGGCTGAGCTGGGATCTCCCTTGGCTGTAGGTGCATGCAGGATGTAGAGAGAACGAGAAACTGCAGATTCACCCTCAATGAGAAGGTTCAAGTCTTACCTATGTCCGAGGACTGCCTGATCCTCAACATCTACAGCCCCTCTGAGGTCACTGCAGGGACCAGGAGGCCGGTGCGTAGTCCAGAGGACCCCATCTAGCTCTACCATGCCAACTGCCCCTCTACGCCTTGCTTTCCTAAACATCCCAGAAGTCCTTAGAGTACCCTGGGCTGCTAGGCAGGTGGCTGGAATCCCAGAGGCTGGGGTCACTGACTCATAGCCATTTCAACAGGTCATGGTCTGGATCCATGGGGGCTCCCTGATGGTGGGCTCCGCCACCGCCCAGGACGGATCAGCCCTGGCTGCTTATGGGGATGTGGTAGTTGTCACTGTCCAGTACCGCCTTGGGGTCTTCGGCTTCCTCAGGTGAGAGCCAGCCTGGAAGAGGACATGGCAGGGCCGAGGAAGCCTTCCCAGGAGTCTGAGGGTAGAGCGGGTGGGGAGCTGGCTCAGCCAATAATGCTTGCTTGCCGTGCAAACGAGAGAACCTGAACTAGGTCCCTAACACCCATGTAAAAGCTGAGTGCTGTCATTTCAGCACTAAGTAGTCAACTAGAGACTGTGTCAAAAACCAAGAGGCAAAGCAGTTAAGCAAGGCACCTAATGTTGCTCTCTGGCCTCCATGTGTCAACACTCGACAGGAATTCCTATGTGTGGGCACCCCACACATATACCATGTGATCAGGCGTGCACACATGCACACACACACACACACACACACACACACACACACACAGGAAGCAGGGAGGGAGGGAGGAAGGAAGAAAATATCCCAGGACTCCATGGTGGGAAGGAGCCCAATCAAAGCCAAAAACTGAACATTGAACTTGGGCAAAGGGTGGTGAGCTCCTGGCTGGGACTAGAGCTTCAGCAGGGAATGGGGACAAAGAGCAGCACGCTCTCCACTCTATTAGCTGTCTGAGAAGCCAGCTCTCAACGGCTACCCCACTGCATCTGCCCACATCATAGACTGGAAAAACAGGTGCCAAAGGCGGCTAATAGCCAAGAGAGGACCGGGGAGCAGAGGAGTGCCCAGTGCCCTGGTGACTGATTCAAAGCAAATCTGCAGAGTACAGGAAAAAAAGAAATATGTCTTGGGAGCTCTCTTGATCTAATCATTGTCTCGCCCTGCCCCTAGCACTGGGGACAAGCACATGCCAGGCAACCAGGGCCTCCTGGATGTGGTGGCCGCTCTGCGCTGGGTGCAGGGGAACATAGCCCCTTTTGGAGGTGATCCCAACTGTGTCACTATCTTCGGTAACTCTGCTGGTGCCATGGTCGTCTCATTTCTGGTGAGTCAGCACAGAGAACTAGCAATTGTGGTCAGATCTGAGAGGGCTCCTAGCACCCCAGACCTCCTGCCTCTTCTGCCTTCTAACCTCATCTACCCTCTGTTCTGTTCCCAGGTCCTGTCTCCGATGTCTGCGGGGCTCTTCCACAGAGCCATATCCCAGAGTGGGGTTATCAACAACCTAATGAAGGAGATGGACGTGAGGCCTGTAGCTCAGGTCTGCCTTTCTTTCCCTCTCTTACACTGACCCTGTGCTAACCTCTGCGTCAGGACTTACCACTAGGGAGTCACTGAGAGGCTCAGAGGCAGTTGACTAGTGCAGTTCAGGAAGTAGGAAGTCAGACATGGCTTCCTAAAGGAGGCCGCCCCTGGGAAGGTTACCTCTGGCCCTTTCCTGGGGGCATTTTTAAGGATCTCTCCTTTCCCCAAGAGTCCTTTGGGAGCCCTCCATTCCCAGCTACTCTTTACCTAAGAGGTCTGTCCCCTTTTGAAGAGTGACCAGAAGAAGCCACCGAGCACTTTCCTAATAGAAACTGTGCATGCAAAAGCTCCAGACATAAGACAGAATGACGGGTCATAGAAGTGGGAGGCCAGCAGGTAGGGGACACAGCAGGAACTGACTGTACTGAAGAAGTGGAGGGTAGTGCAGGCTCTGACAGACCATACCCCTGCTGTGATGGAGGAGTATGCTGGGCATCGAAACCCTGGGTTTGAGGGGTCATTCAGAAACCTCAACAGGACACATTGCCTATCTGCCCAAGAGCAGCAGCCTACCACTCACCTCACCACGGAGGGCAAAGATTTTCTTTCCACAAATTACAGACCTCTGCCTCCCTGGAAGCCATCCCTCCAGCCTCTTAGCTCCAGACTGAGGACCCCTTCCATTCCCTGCCAGACATGCCCATGAATATCCTTATTGGGGCTACAAACTATTATTCAGCTAGAAAAGTATACAGTTTTCAGACAGACAAAGGGGACACGGGAACAGGAATCAGCCTCTTAGGCTGGCAGCAGGTCTCTCCAGCTAGTCTTGGACCCAGACAGCTCAGTACAGGAAGCATTGTACCGGAAGTGGAAGGTGTGAGTCTGAGAGGCAACATTCTTCTCTCTGTCCCCAGAGCTTTGCCAGCTCCATGGCTTGCAGCTCCGAGTCCCCGGCTGAGCTGGTGCAGTGCCTGCTGCAGAAGGAGGGAAGGGACCTTACCAAGCAGGTGTGTCACCACTTGGGGAATGATAACAGGTGATGGCCCACAGGGATTCTGTCTTGTTTCTGCAGATTCAGTAGGCTTGGTCTCCACAACCGGCCTCCTGACTTGCTTTTTCCAGCAGCAAAACCTGACAGTTTCCTACATAGTCAACGACTCCTTCTTCCCACAAAGCCCAGAGACACTCCTAACAGAGAAACAATTCCCCACTGTGCCTTACCTCTTGGGAGTCAACAACCATGAGCTCGGCTGGCTCATTCTCAAGGTGAGTGTCCTTTGGCACCTGTGCTCTTCATGGCCCTGCATAGGCAGATCTTCCCTATACCATCACCACAGCAGCTATGCCCTGAGCACTCCGGTAGTTCCCATTTGGTAGGTGAGAAAGCCAAGGGTCAAGGCCGCTCAGCTTCATTTTTCACCAAGCAAATGTTCCCTTGTTGAAGATTCTGTTTTTGCAAAGAGGTCTTCTGGGAAGTCCTAACCCACAGTGCATTCTTGCTGGCTGCTGGCTTATATAACCCACTCTGAGCTACTGGGGAGTGTGACTCTGTGCCTAAGAGGCTGACTGACTAAGATTCACAGGTTTCAGACAGCATTAAGCCACTGGAGACTCGATGGGTAGTTACCTTCTAATCCAGTCTGGGTATGTAGAGCCTGTATGAGAATGGCTCTGCCATGCTGCATTCCTGGCACCTTGTCTCATCCCGCCATTTCTATCTGTCTATCCATCTTTACAGAAACTTTTCTCTCCCTCCATGATGTTCAAGACCAAATTCAGGTCCTGCCACATGCCAGCCAAGTACCCTGCCCTGAAGCCTACCCCTTAACCCAGCAATTGTTTTCAGTGGCTAAAGCCTCTAACAAAGGAAGGGTCCCATCATGTTTCTTCACTTTGTGGTTTGAGCAGCTGCTAATCGGGGCCACTGGGGCTCATAGTGCAATGCTCTGTTCAAGTGACACCAAGCTGTCAAAAAAAGAAACAGGAAAGAAAGACAAAGAAGAAGAGAGAAGAAACAAACAAACAAACAAACAAAATACTTCTTGTCTTGACATTCCCCCACTGAAAATCGATCTACCGTAAAAATTAGCTTCCCTGTGCCAGCAGTTGGATATACATGAACTCAGTCCCACAAAGATCCTAGGAGGCAGGTCATTGTCATTTCTCCTTCACAGATTAGAAAAGTGAGGCATGAGAAGGTCAAGTAACTTTCATGAACCTAGGAAGTGGTAGACCCGGCATTTGAGTCAAAGAGTCAGGTGTCAGATGCTATTCAAACTAGATCATCTACTCCAGGCACCGTAGACTCCTGTGATCCACTGTGATGGCAGAGGTAGGAGTGTCTCAAGTCTGAGACCAGCCTGGGCTACATCTTGAGCCCCTATCTCAAAAATACCTGCAACATATAAAGTCAGCACTTGATTCTATGGCCTGGGGTCTTTGTTTGCTTGTTTCTTATTTTGAAGCAAGGTCTCATTCTGTAGTCCAGCTATCCTAAACTCACTATGTAGCCCAGGATGGCCTCAAAGGTGAGGCATCCTCTTGCCTCAGCCTCTCAAGTACTGGGATTACATGAGCCAACATGTGGCACTTTTAACTAGAGCCCATGAGATTCTGAGGTGAACCATGGGGGACCTGAGCTCCATCCACCCATAAAGAAAAGCCAGACATGGCTCTGGAAGCCTATAACCCCAGAGCTGGGGAGGTGGAGGCAGAAGGAACCCTGGAGCTCACTGTTCAGCCAGTCTAGCCAAACTGACCAACCCCAGGTTCTTCAAGAGACTCTCACAAAATAAGGTGGAAAGAGATTGAGAAAAAACATCCTCAACTTCTGACCTACACACACAAGCATATGCACACAAACACATGAGAACAAAACACACACATACATGTGCACACAAAAACACACATATGTACTTGTATGCACACAAACACATATACCCAGAAATATACAAAAAAAGGAAGAAAAACGTTAAATGAAAATGAATGTTCTCCTCCCTGTTGGTACTGCCATTAGGCCCTGACAGCTGTATGCAATGCCGCTATCCTAGACCCCTCCATTCTTAGCAGTTATAGTTTATGTGCTTGCGGATTTGGCTACCCGTGACTCTTAGCATGAGTTTGTGGACACCAGCCTAGGAATGCCCTCCTGCTTAGGCCCATGGGTGAAAGACAATGATTGAGCTTTACTGTCCCCACAGGTTTGGAATATTCTGGACAAGTTGGAACATTTAAGCCAGGAGGACATGTTGGAGATTTCAAGGCCCTTCTTGGCCCTTCTGGTAAGGCAAGAGGAAGGAGGGAGGGGCCGCTGGGCACCTAGCAGAGCAGTGTCTGATCCACTCCTGACACGGCTCACCAGCCACCAAATCTCCCAGCCTAAGTGATGAGTCTTTATTCTGTTAAAACTAAAGAGACCAGGAGGGTGACTCTGGACTGTCCTACCAGCATTCGGGAAGCTGAGGTGGGAAAACTACAGCAAATTCAAGGCCACCCTCCAGGCCACATAGGGGGTTCTAGGCTAGCCTGGACTACAGAGTGACCCTTTGTCTCAAAAAATAATATTAATAGTAATAATTTGAGATGGTGTGGTTCTCAAAAGAAAATCAGCGGAGGCATAAATGTCTCCATGGAGACCACCCTTTGTGAGCGCAACTACACACCCAAGGCCGTCGTGCTCTGCATGCAGATAGGCATTCATCCTCTTTGGTTCTCGTGGCAGCTCTGTGAAGCAGAAACTGTCCGTTTCCCTGTTGCACAGATAAGAAAAGTGAACCCTTTTCTTATCTTAATCAAGTGTTAAGATTCCATTGTCAGGTACAGAGCCAGAAGAACTCAGGGTCAGACAGATCCCAGCCCTGGTCACTTAGCCAGTTCTCCCAGTTCCTCTGAGCCCACAGCTCCACTGCAAATGGAGACGATGCTTCCTGCTCACCTGAGCTCTCCTGGGGGACTGAACACTGTACGTGAAGAGCTGGCCCGATACCCAGGCAGCACACATGTGTGCTCTCTTCTTTGGAATCCCCAGAGCCCTCTCTGTCATGCAGCCTCATTGCGGCTCTCTGGGATTGTGAGGCGCCCCATCATTGCTTATTCCTGGCTAACTTTCACCTAGCATCTGCTTCCAGACCACATTCTGTGCTGCAGACCTCATAGAGGTCTCCAAACAACTTACCAGGCAGACACTGGCTTTCAGAGCAGCTCAGACACCTTCTTGGGGTGGTACAGACAAACAATGGCCATGGGCTGGCAGTTAACTCTACACTTGAGTTTAGCCTACCCAGACATGATCTGTTAATAAAACACCCAGAGATAGCCAGGCTTGGTAGCTCAGGCCTCACTCTGTGAGGAGGCCAGCCTGGTCTACAAAGTGAGTCCAAGACAGCCAAGGCTATACAGAGAAACCCTGTCTCAAAAAAAAAAAAAAAAAAAAAAACAACCAGGGATGCAGGTAGGGAGATGGTTGTCCCCTGGAGCATGAACCGCAGGATGCAAAATAAACTATCATGGAGGGTGTGGGGTCTGCGAGAGATCTGCCAAAGCTGTGCAGACCTGAACAGACCTAAGACTGACCTCTCACTCTAGGATGTACCTCTTGAGATTATGCCCACCGTCACACATGAATACCTAGATAATGGCTCAGATGCATCAGCTACAAGGCATGCCTTACAGGAATTGCTGGGTGATATCATGTTCGTCATTCCTACCTTAAACTTTTCAAGACAGCTTCAAGGTAAAGCAGCCCTTGCCACCTTTCCTGCTGATAGATGAAGGCCCAAGATGCCTTGCACCACACACTCTACTGCTACCTCCAAGCCCTTCTTGCTCCTGGATGTAGCGCCACAGAAGTGGGTGGTACCTCTGGCAGAGTACCTTGCACATGAAACAGGGGTTCAAAGAGCTAAAATGACTTATCAAAGGCCACCCAGCAGGGCGCATCACTAATTCTTTCTTGGAGATTCGTTCAGGTGGGAAGCAATTAAGTGCTTCTCCTGGGGAAAGCCTTGCTTCACTCCCGAAACTGGCACAGTCCTAGAACAGCCCCAAACTCTTAACCTTCAGGTAAGATGCAGAGGTCCTCTCTGGGCCTCACTTTCATCATTTGTAAAGTGAGAACATAGTGAGGGTTAATCTAAAGCTGCAGTGGTGTGGCCACAGCTAATGCTGTGACCTCTTTAATACATTTCCTCATGGTGTGGTCAACTCCAACCATAAAATTGTTTAGTTGCTGCTTTGCAATTTTGCTACTGTCATGAATTGTAATGTAAACACCTGGTATGTGTGATATCTGATATGTGACCGGAGAGTGGTCTCAACCCCCAGATTGAGAGCTGCTGATCTAAAGATCATCCTGAGTGTGGAACAGATCAGGCCAGGCGTGGTGACTTCCACCCCAGCACTTAGGAAGTGGAGACAGTACGATCAGGAGCTCAAAGTCATCCTTGGCTACATAGTTAGTTTGAGGATTGCCTAGACCAAATGAGATTTTGTCTTTTAAAAGCATCAACATCCACCAAGCAGTCTCAGGAACGCTTGTGGTCCATCTCCGGTCTGAACCATTGTTATGATGAAGGTTGACGTCATTGTGCTGCCAAATGGCCTGATTAAACTGTAAGCACCTAACAAGAATCCTACCTTCTCTGTAGATGCTGGGTGCCCTGTTTTCTTGTACGAGTTCCAACATACACCCAGTTCATTTGCGAAGTTCAAGCCAGCCTGGGTGAAGGCTGACCATGCATCTGAGAGTGCCTTTGTCTTTGGAGGTCCTTTTCTCACAGATGAGAGCTCCTACCTGGGTAAGGACAGACAGACATTCAATCCCTAGGCTACCATGCTCCAAAGTGGTCTTTTGGGAACAGAGGTCTCATCAGCACCAGAGACCTTTGGGCATAGTCCAAACCACACCTGACCCTAATCCAGACCTGTCCCTCCCACCAGCCTTCCCAGAGGCCACAGAGGAAGAGAAGCAGCTGAGCCTGACCATGATGGCCCAATGGGCCCAGTTTGCACACACAGGGTGAGTAGGAAGTTGCACATGCCAGGCTTTGGGGCCAGGCTTTGGGGCTCATATCTGCATCTACCTGGGGAATAGAATCAACCCTTGGTTCTCATTCATTCCTCTCGCCCAGGAACCCCAATGGCAAGGGGCTGCCTCCTTGGCCCCAGCTAAACCAGTTAGAACAATACTTGGAGATTGGGCTAGAACCACGGACTGGGGTGAAGCTAAAGAAAGGCCGGCTAGAGTTCTGGACAGAGACACTACCCAGAAAAATCCAAGAGTGGCGACAGCAACAAAAGACCAGGAAAGCTTCAGAGGAACTCTGAGGCCAGGCCTGCCTGGACCTTCCTGCCTGGGACCAACCCAAGGAGCGGCGCGGTCCCAGCAGGGCAGCCTCTTGCTGTTTCTGCCCAGAGACTTCACCCTGGACCAGGCTGATGCAAACCCATGTTTGTTAAGGCACCAGGTGCTGCAAAACCAGTACGGTGCCCTACTGGAATGTTACTACCCTGGCTCCCACTTCCGGACCCTTACACAAGCTCCTGCTTCTCCCTGAAGTACCTTGAATCCTTGCTGTATGGCAAGGTCCAGCATGTTAGTCAAGTTCTTCAAAAGATCTGTTCTCCTGAGAAACCTCCTCTGCCTTCTCTAGGCCATGTGTACCGATTAGAACCATGTCTACCATGACCTCACACTGTCCGTGTCCATGTCTTTGTCCCTCCCAGAGAAGATCTCTGAAAATGGAAATAGACAACCTAGCCCTGTCACCCACAGCGAGATGAGGCAGGGCCTGGTGGCAGGGAGTGACAGATAGGATCTATGAATTGTGGAGTCTAGATTTTAACCCAGACCCTTCAGGTACCAGAATCATGTTCTATCTCCCACGGATGTCCACCCTGGCCAGGAAGGTGACCATGGTGTCACCTTCTTGATTCAGAAGTTTTTTTAGCACCCAGCTTAGAATAAACCTTAGCACCTAGGGGTCTTCCTGTTCTCCAATCCCTTCTTCACCAATAAAGTTTGTCCCCATAGCCTGATAGAGAGCCGGACAGCTATGAAGCAAGACTCTGCATGTTTCTGGCACCACAAGAAGCTGTAAGAAATAGTCTGTGCCTGATTTGGGGGAAAGAAGGCCATCTAAGCTAAGACCTAAAAGATAAACAGAGGTTACTCAAATGGGCAAGCCAAAGAATAAACCAGAATGTGATAAGCAAGAAGAAAAGGGAGTTCTTAGCAGAGGCCACAACAAGAGCAGGGGCCTGAGGAAATGCTGCTCTATACAGACAGACTGAGATCAGATTATTGGGGTGACTTGAACAGATGTGCTATCCAGAAGAGGGGGGTGGGACAGCAGAGTTGGGAAAGGAAAGCAAGGAGAAGCCAGTGCATTTTCCAAGATGGAGGCCACTGGTAGACCCTTCTGTTCTGTTAAGAGAAGATCTCACTTCATAACCCAGGTTTGCCTGAAACTCACTGTGGAGCCCAAGGTGGCCACAAACTCAAGCCAAACCTTCTGCCTGTGCAGGGATTATAGGTGTAACACCACCAACCGGCTTTTTGGTGGGATCTGGAATAACAGTCACCATGTGGTGACTGATGGGACCCAGAGATGAGGGGAAAGAATGACTGTCTGGGAGCAGTATTCACAAAGGAGCTGCTCTGGGAACAGAAGATCTAATGTGCCATGGTTTCTTCTCCCTGGTCCGAGGGCATGCCACACCTGCTTTGATGCTGCCCTCTACAGAGGACCCTGGAAAGAGTTGAGCAAACTGGCTGGTGAAGCCTCAGACCCTGCCTGGAGACACTTTCTCTCCACTCATGGAAGAATAATTACGGCTGGAAGGTTCCCCAGGATTCTATTCTCTTGCATTTACATTTTCTTCTCCCAGGCCGCTATCTCTGAAATTCACTGAACATCCCTCCCTCGCTGGCCAGGGTGTCCTAGCAGACAGATGTTTTTGTTCTAAGGCCACGGCTGTTGTGTAAAACTGAGGATAGAAAGCCTAGCTTCAGATGAGGAAATGTTTGAGCCTCTTGTGACAAAGTTGCAGAAAGGGTTATGGGTCGGTGTGCTGTGGACGCCAGGAGGCGCTGCAGGACAAAGCTGCGCAACCAGACAAAAAGCTAGCATATGCTTGCAAGGCATACACACAACCCCATACAAACCAAGTTTAGTCCCACACCTCTCAGTCTCAGACACACACAGTCACTGACAGGCTTTGCAGTATGAGTCCACCACTGATCAATATTTATCTTTGGGAAATTCCTTTTGCCTCTTTTTGGGTCTTTTGTTTTGTTTTTGTTGTTGTTGGCTGATTGATTGATTGATTTTTGTTTCCTTTTGTTTTGTTTTGTTTTGTTTTGTTTGTTTGGGGGGATAGGGTTTCTCTGTGTAGCTCCGGATGTCCTGAAACTTGTTCTGTAGACCAGGCTGGCCTGCTTTTGTCTCCCGAGTGCTGCCATTAAAAGTGTGTGCCAACACTGGCTGGCTAGTTTGGGAGTTTGTCTGCTTGTTTGCTTGTTTTTATTTTTTTTTTTATTGGTTCTCTGTAAATTTCACATCATGCACCCCAATGCCACTCATCTTTCCCTCCCCTTGTACCTGCCCTCCACTCTTGCAACCTTCTCCCAATACAGAAAAAAAAAAAAAAAAATCTTGTGGACGCTGTAATGTGTCAGTGTGTGCACAGTATACCCTTTTGTCCAAACTTTTTTCTTGAAAATATTCACTGCAATGACTCAGTCTGGCATGAGGTCTCTGGCTTCTGCTGCCCTATCAACACTGGAACCTCATTAGGACTCCTCAGTTGTCGTGTTGTTGCCCTGTGTCTGGAGGTACTGTAGTTTGGGATCTGTAGGACCTCCCCCAGTTCATAGATGGGATAGATGTTGGATCTGGGCCTGAGAGGTCTCTGAGCTGGTCAGCCCTTAAGGCCAACTTACCGGCAACCCCTGCAACCAGGGTCAGCTCTACCCTAGCACCCAGCAAAAGCTCAACAAATATTCCCTGACTAGGTATGGGCACACATTCCAGACACCTCTAATCACTGCTTAAAGATTGGCGAACTGGAGCTGTTAGCGGTGTCACCATGTTAGCATGAGTAGCACAGGCATCTTCTTCCTAAAAATAACTTGCAGCTTGTAGAAGCCCAGAAGATATCTGTGACAATGCTCTGGTTGCCCAAATAATTTTTCTGTGGGAGCCCCTGCCCTTCTGGGAGCTCTTAGAAGTCACTGTGGTCCAAGCTCCTTCCCTAATCTGTATGCAGCCAGCCGCTCACCCACCTTGGGATTTTCACCTGCTTCTTGCCATCTCTAAAAACTAGCTTTTGGCCCAAGTTATCTAGTCCCTAAGACCACTGCAAGGCTCTGAATGGGACATTAATTCTGCTTCTTGGAGATAACACCAATCTCTCCTCCCTTCTCCCTGCCCTTACTCACAGGCCTCCCTTCCGGCCAGTCCTACATCTCTTGGGCCTTAGGTTATCCTTGCTCTTTGGATCTTCTACTCAAGCCGCACTGCCCCCTCCTCAGGCCCTGAGCTGACCTCCCTGTTGGAACACTGTCAAAAGAATGATACATAGTGAGCAATGGCTTGGGGAACTGTATTAGGCTCCAGGAGAAAAGGCAGAAGGCCTTTACCTCAGGTACATTTTGCTCCCTGGATTGCTCTTGGGTGTGTCATCGTGTCTCCCATGACAAACATTTACATTCAATTATAAGACATGTTTATTCTTGTTGGATTTTGGAACATAGCTTATAGAACCCAATCTGGTCAGTGTACCCTGGCTATGGATATGGCCTTCTGCCTCGCTTTCATGCTTTCCCAGATATAATCTATGGTACGTGCCAGGCAATTGTGTTTCTGTTGGTCTCTCCTGAGAAAGTTCTGGTAAATGGCTACTCTGTTGATACTTGGTATGTGCTTACCGGCATTTATTTACATGTTGTTCTGATCCTGTTTTTCTGAACTCAGGCAACCTTTTTTGGATCATTGCTTTCTTCGTTACATTTTTGTATAAAAGGACACTGAAACTGAAGTAAGGTTGTATACAGCATCAGGCAGTGGTCCACCTCATTCTTTCAGGTCCTTGGATCCCAGGTCCAGCGGATAAGATCTGCATAGGTTGCCTGAAAGTCCCCCTCCTTGATCCTGAAGACATTGCCCAGGACTCCAAGGAATGAAGAAGTAGTTAACATATTTTATAAGAGCCCAAGCTTGCTGACATCTGTCTCTTCCCTCAGGCCTCTGATTTGTCCTCTGTACAGAAAAATTAAACACTGAGAATCAGAGAGGGGAAGTGCCTTTCTTACAGCTACACAGTGTAGCTAGAGCTCGCTGGTCTCTGACTCCACAATGCACCCTCCTAAGGTTGACTCTCCTGCTACTGGAGCTGGTGTTTGGGGCATCTAATTTAGGTGGGAATCTATGACTGTAAAAAGTAGCAATCCAGCAAGAGAAGCCCAGAGAGAGGTGTCTTACAAGGTGATGAATTCAAATAGTGGCTTTATGGCCCTCAGAAAAATAACGGGGACCAACACTGTTATCACTCAGGCACCTGTGTGTTCCCTGTCCTCCAGACATGCTCTGGAGCCCCTGATATAACAGTTTGTGCAACATTCTTTCCATACCTCAGCACCACCAATCATGTCTCTGGATGTAGAGTGAAGAACCAAGGAGAGTTAGTGTCCAGGTATCTTTCATCCTGATCCCCAGGCCCTATTCTTCCCCCAAACCATGTGAGACCCAGAGAAGAGAGGACTGTGGATTGCTGTGAGTCCTCTCAGATGTGCAAGCAGCAGTCAGGGGCTGTCTGGCCTCTGACTCCTCCTGGAAGACCACACAACTCCCAGAGTGTACTTGAAGCTGCAGGAATCATCAGAATTTGACATTGCTCACTTTATTTTGCACATTTGACCACGAATGTCAGAAAGGTTCTCTGAAACACATGGACAGTGAATGGCTAACGGAGCTTGGAGTCCCCATCTGTCAGATCAGAGGGTGATGTCAATTCCACATCATTGCCCGCTTTCTTTTTGTTCAGCCAGGACACTGAAAACTCTGTGTGAGGGGTTGGGAATGTAGCTCAGTTGGTGGACTCCCTGTCACGCACAAAGCCCTGTGCTCATTCTCAGGCATGGCACAAAGCTTGTCGTGCTTGAGAGTCCAGCACTCAAGAAGCAGACGTAGAGGAATCAGAAAGAAGTTCAAGCTCATATTTAGCTACATATTGAACTCCAGGCCAGCCATGAGACCCTATTTCAAAAGAAGAAAAGAAGGAAGGAAGGAAAGGAGGAAGGGAGGAAGGGAGGAAAATAAAGTAAGAAAGAAGGAAAAGGAAAAAACAAACAAAGCCAGATGTGATGGCACACATCTTTAATCCCAGCACTCAGGAGACAGAGACAGGTGGATCTCTGTGAGTTCAAGGCCAGCTTGGTCTACAAAGTGAGGTCCAGGACATACAAGGCTACACAGAGAAACCCTGTCTCAAAAAAAAAAAAAAAAGAAGAAGAAAGAAGGGAAGGAAGGGAAGAAGGGAGGGAAGGAAAAAGGGAGAGAGAGAGAGAGAGAGAGAGAGAGAAAGGGGGCAAGATAAGGCAAACAAAACTTTAAGTCAGTATAGTGGCACATGTCCATTATCTAGCACTCTAGAGGGGGACAAAGGAAAATGACAAGCTGGAGGCTAGCCCAGGCTGCATAGAAAAACCTTCCTCAAAATAGGAAAGGGAGACTCAAGAGACTCAGGAAAAGCTGATATTTACCCTGAGCCAATGATGTTACTGGAGCCTGCTACCTCCTGGTTACCTGCTCTACATCCCTGGGCTTGGTGTGCACACTGGATGAGGCCATATGTTTCCCAAACATGTCATCAGTGTTCCTGGTCTGACACAACTGCTCTCCATATGGGCCAGGTAAAAGGTTACTCCTTCCCTGGGGAAAGGCAGCAAGAGTGGAGCCAGCTGTTGGCAGGTCGGGTCCCAGAGGCCCACAAAAAGCAGGCCAGGAACCCGCACAGCTGGGTGAGGGAGTCTGTGCATGGCTGATCCACCAGGGACCTACCAGGTCATCTCACCTCCTTACCTGCCTTCTCTCACCACTCCCTTCCCCTAAGCTTGGCCTGTGTTTTGAGTGACATACCAGGGTGATGGCTGCATTTTAGTAAGCTAATTTTATCGAGAGGCTTGACAGCAGCAGGAGAAAGCTTTGCAAACTGAATTCCAGCATCCTATTGTTGTGAGCTCTGCTCACAAGGGGCCCAGGAGAATGAGTTGATGGGAAGCAGAGAGCAGGTTCTTTGCGGCCTTTGTTTCATTGGTTGGTTGGTTGGTTGGTTGGTTATTTGGTTGGGTTGTTTGGTTTTTTCTCTCCCAATGTTGTGGATTAAACTTAGGTCCCACATTTGCTAGGAATGCATTTTACCCCTAAACTATATTCCTCCTTTTTTTTTTCCCAGTTTTCATTTAGAAACAGGATCTTGCTAAATTGTCCAGGCAGGCTTTGAACTTGCAACTCTTCTTCTTCCACCTCAGTTTATGATTACAGATAAGCACTGCCATGGCCTAGGTACTCAACCCTCCTTTATTCAATAATAATAATAATTTTAAATGTATATGGGCCAAGCAGTGGTAGCCTTTAATTCCAGCACTCAGGGGGCAGAAGCAAGTGGATCTCTGAGTTTGAAGTCAGTCTGGTCTAGAGATCAAGTTCCAGGACAGCCAAGGCTACACGGAGAAACCTGTCTTAGGGTAGGGTCATTGTATCCCTTAAAATTTATTTGGGAGGGACCAGTAATGCATTTGTGACAGGACATGCTGATGGAGGTCAGAGGACAGCCTGCAGGAGTCATTCCGTCACTTCACCATGTAGATCCAGGCATCAAAGTCAAGTACTCACTCTTGGCAGCGGTCACCCTGAACCTTCTCACTCTCTCCCTTTTCCCTTTTTGTTTTGAGATAGGGTCTCACTAAAAGGCTCAGGTTAGCTTTGGGTTTGCAATTCTCCTGCCTTAATCTCTTAAATAGCTTACTCTACACGCCTGCAACACCAGCCCAGAATATTTCGGTGTGCATTTTGCATGGCTGAGCTGGTCCTATGCAATAAACAGTTTAAAAATCTACCTGTTGAAGTCATTGAGCCACACCGGCCTTTTCTCGTGCACCAGTTTGCCCTGTGCATTCGGTAGTTCAGAATTCCTAGACTCCACCAACTGTGAATTGAAGATATTCTAAAACACAAACGCAACATATCAAAATTTAAAGAAATAAAAGTATCTGTTCTACACAAGCACAGACTTTTTTGTTGTCATTATTCCCTAAGCAATGTAGTCCATTAACCGTTTATACGGCATTTACATTGCACTGGCTCTCCTACATGATCTAAGAATAGTACATTTGAACCTGATAATTATGGCGCACACTTTAATCTCAGCAAGTAGATGCCAGGAGAATCTCAAGTTTAAGATCAGCCTGGGCTTCATGGTAAGCTGGAGGTCAGACTAAACAACTTGGTGAAACCCTGTCTCCAAATAAAAATAAGCGGTGCTGGGGATACAGCTGGGGGTACAAGTCAGTGGTAGAGGGAAAATATGCCTGGCATATGCAAGGCTGTAGGGTCATCTCCAGTACTGCAAAAAAATAAAATAAAATAAAATAGGAGAAGAAAAACTAATAATGTATATTGTAGGATGCCTGTAAATCATGTGCAAATACGACCCTGTTTCATGTAAGAGACTTGGGCATCCTGGGATGTTGGTATCTTGCAGAAAGTAAAGGCTTCTGGAACCCATCCCTTAAAAACACTAAACGAGTGTTTTACTTTTTTAAAAAGCAGTTATTATGTTTGTTTGTTTGTTTGTTTGTTTGTTTCAAGACAGGGTTTCTCTGTATAGCCTTGGCTGTCCTAGACTCACTTTGTAGACCAGGCTGGCCTCAAACTCACAGAGATCTGCCTGCCTCTGCCTCCCAGAGTGCAGGGATTACAGAAGTGCACCACCGTGCCCATCTTGTGTTTTAGTTTTGACAACAGTAGAAATAACGTGCCTTGCGGTGTGAAAAGTATGTTCAATTGGGCCAAATGTATGAGGTAGCATACTCCTGTAATCCTAGCACTCAGGAAACTGAGACAGGAGGATTAAAGACCACATCTCACAGAAGTAAAATAATCTATTTAGTACTCACTACAGTCTTAGAATCTTAGTGCTCTTCTTATGTGGATTTTGCAGGTAGAGAAAAGGTGGTTCTGAGAATCCGGTGACTTACCCAAAGCTACACAGTGACAGACCTAGGGTTCAAACCCAAGCAGCCTAGCCCAGAATCGCCATACAAAGCTGGCTGGTACTGCAGACGCTTATGAAACACGTTCTTACTAACGCTGGGTCACGTGGTTTTTGTTGCTGTCCTGTCTCATCTCCCCGATTCCTTCCCAGGAGCGTGGGGGTGAGGCTGATGTCAACAAGGTTGTGTGAGACTCAACCTGTCAACAAGGTTTTGTGTATTTTGGATGTTCTCTCAGATCAAATTTCTCAGTCAAAGGACATAGGCAGTTTTTAGGTTCTTGCTCCATGTTGTCCAACTTGAGGAGACATTGTGTCATTTGCATGCTTGCTATCAGGTGAGACACCTACTTAGCCAGTATCAAGGGTGTGGTAGGGAGAAAATGTCGCCATGGTTTCTAAGGGTACACCACACACACACACACACACACACACACACACACACGCATGCACACACACACACACACACACACGTGTGTATTATGTGTACATGAATGTGTACATGAGTGTGTGTGACTGTGTGTAGGCATGCACCATGGTACACACTTAAAGGGTGTAAGTCCTCACGGCACACTTTGAGAGGAGCTCTTTGTGTTGGCTTTTTCTGCTGCATGTACCTTCTAAGCTGGCCCTTGAGCTACCCGGATTCCCCTGCTTCTGCCTCTCATCTTACAGTAGTAACCCTGGAATTACAGATGCGTGCTACCATGCCCAGCTCTCCATGGATCCTGGGAATTTAAACTCAGACCCCATTGCTTGTGTGGTAAGTACTTTACCTACTGGGTCATCTTCCCAGCTTCCCATAGGAATCATTCTGGAAGGAACGTAAGATAGACAATGTTGCCTGTCACTGAAGGGCACAGAGCCGTATGCCAGCCAGTGGGATACTGTAGCCTAACACTGTGAGTGGTGAGCAGACTACAAGGAAATGGGCTATAGACAGCATACCAGATGGTTCCCTGTGGTGACCCTTTGGCAACAGCCACCTGGAGCCTGTCTCGGGCCTTCCTTAGAGGAGCATGGAGCCCAGTCAATGACATTTGGGCAGTGAGCATCGTATCCCTGAGGACAGAGAAAAAGCCCCAAGAATAGGAAATGCGGGTAAGAATCCCAAGCAAAAGACATTTCTGAGAATTCACTGAATGGGCCTCGGAGGAAACAGTGAATTTTAATGACTTGCCAGACCTACTGAGCCATGGTCAGTAAGAGACACATGCCTCTTACCTTCTGCCCTCCTAGCACAAAAAAACCCTAGATACCCATTTCCCAGAGGTAAGCCAAGACTACAGGACTCCCACCTGACCTGTCAATCTAAATGGAACCATCTCTTCCCATCCAGCCCCATACTTGCTCCTACAAACTTCAGGCCAGAGTTCCCCTTGTTGGCTGATTCCACAAAGGTTGACCTTAATGTTGAAGATTCTCCAGGGAGCTCTCCCTCACTCACTCACTACCCTGGTCTCACCGAGTGACCCTTCTCATGGTTGCCTTTAGGTCTAGACTCCAGCTGGAACGTGAGGCTGAGAGGGCTCAGCACACTGACTTCCTGTCCCTGACCAATCTGACACTCCATGATGATCCTATCTGAGAAACCTGGAGCAAATACAAGAGTCTGCACAAAGCATAGGCAATCAGGAAGGCCCAGGACTCTTAAACCCCCAGGGAGCTTGTCTGAGGCTGAGGGACCCTAACCCCAGTGCTCTGCTCCAGTCTTGGCACATAGTCAATGCACGAAGCTTGACTCACGTTAGCCAAACTTTAAGCCATTACCAAATGAGCAAACTGGGCAGGGATTGCAGGCAAGCCAGTTTGGTAAAGAGCCAAAACCATGTAGTGTGACCTGTCACCCCCAAGGGGTAGGATCAAGGCTCCACAGCTGGTGAGAAGCTTGGTCATAACTCCTCCAGCCCCAGCCCCTGAGGATGGGAATGCCAAAGATAAAGGCAGAACTTTCTGGTGCTTGAGCACTGTGCTCACAGCTCCCTTCTGACCCCAAAAGTGTGGCATCGCTGCAGCCCATGGCGGAACCTGGCTGGAGAATGAAGTGGATTCTGGGCTTGAGCCTCACCCTGTGCCTCACAGTCCAGGCAGCTTTAGGTAAGATCTTCACCCTCCTGGGGGTGCCAGTCCTAGCTCAGCCTCTTCTGGAAGGTGTGACTTAGGTAAGGTCTGGGCAGACGGAGGGCACTGTTTCAGAGAGCTCGTGTGCTACTAGCTAGACTTCTGAGCAAGTCATTTGTCCGCTCTGAACCGCAGGACTGCTCTGCAAAGCGGGGGCTGTGTCTCCTGGGATCAGTGAGAACATGGCATGTCCATGTCCTCCTTCCGGCCTTTCCCGACTCCTTTCTCCTCTCTCCTAAGCAGGAGTGCCACTTCTACCTCCCTGTGCCTTGCCTGGGCCTCTTCGCTACCTGTACCTTTCTCCTCAGTGGTCTTCTTTCTAACATGACAGCTATCCTCTGAACTGTGAAAACAACATCACACATTAACAACCATTTATTGAGGCATTAGATATACATACAGCATGAAACACGTGTCTAAACTATATGACTATTGGGTGTGTGTATTGTATATGTATATGTATATATAAATATATGTATATAATTGCACAAGTATATATGTACATATATTTACAATAGTCATATAAGTATAGATACTGTAACCACCATTCTGATCAAAATCTAGAGTATTACCAGTTCCTATGTGTCATTCCCTAGTCAACACCTCCCAAGGGACCACTACTCTGACCTCTACTGTAAATTGATTTTGCCTAAAAAAAAAAAAAAATTACATGAGGTTTTTTTTTTTTTTTTTTAAGAGAAGCTTTGATAAAACTGCTTTTAGCATTTTGTGGTATGACCTTCTTGTATATTTACACATAGCTGTACTATTAACATGTACAAAATTTTATTTTTAAGATTTTATTTTTTCAAGACAGGGTTTCTCTGTGTAACAACAGTTCAGGCTATCCTGGAACTCGCTTTGTAGACCAGGCTGGCAAGATATTTTTTTTTTAATTATGCTTCGTGTATGTGCCATAGCACATTTGAGGACAAATTGCAAGAATCCATTTTTGTCCTCTACCAAGTGGATCCCAAAGATCAAACTCAAATGATTAGGCTTAGCACCAAGTACCCTTATCACTGAACCACCTTGCTGACACTACAGTTTGTTGTTTGTTTTTTATTTTGTTTTTATTATTTTTTATGTGCATTGGCATTTTGTCTGCACGTGTGTCTGTGTGGGGTGTCGGATCCCCTGGAACTAGAGTTACAGACAGTTGTGAACTACCATGTGGGCGCTGGGAATTGAAAACGAGTCCTCCGGAAGCACACCCAGTGCTCTGAACCACTGAGCCATCTCTCCAGCCCCTGGCCCTACCGTTCTATACTCTGCTTATCTTTCCCACTTAAATTCTTATGGAAGGTGGTTTATAGCTTAAGTTTATTTTCACTTCCCTTAGCTCATAGATAGGAGTGCGGCTTCAGCATCCACTGGAGTTGAGATCAGTCTTTACTTTAATGAAGCAGCACATCCGACGCTGGGGATATCCTGGAGCCTGATCAGAATGAGATGTGTGTAACTAGCATCATATAGAATTGTACAGGTGACACATGAGCATCTTGCTGTGAGGCATACCTCAACAAACTACCGCTAATGGGCTACGTTTTCACAGTTCAAAGAATACTGACTTTTCAAAAGAAATACACTTTGTTTTAAAGTGAAGTCGCTGAATCAAAGCATGTGAATATTTTATGGCTCCTTACATATCTTGACAAGTTCTTTTGACAAGGTATTATATCAATTTGTCCTCCACCAACAATATGTGTGGTGGACATCCTCGTATCATCTCCAGAATTGGCTGACATCATTCATTAATTTTTCAGGTGTCATCTGTTATTCTAGGCCTTAATGGTACTTTATCAATACCAGCACTAAGGTAGAATACTGGTGATTTAAAACCATTTTTAATTTACAAAAATTTTAATTGTGTGTGTGTGTGTGTGTGTGTGTGCGCACAAGGATATGGGTGTTGGTATGTACACCTGTTCCCACAGAGCCCAGAGGTACCTCATCTCCTGGAGTTGCTCTTTAAGGTGATTGTGAGCCACCTGGGATAGATGCTGCCTTTCAGAGCTCAGGTCCCTCAGCAAGAACAGTGAGTGCTCTTAATCACTGAGCCATTTTTCCAGCTCCAAGAATACTGATTTTTGTTTTGTATACTTGGCTATCAGATTTTTATTTTTGTTTTTTACCCAGACAAGGTCTCACTATATAGCCTGGGTCCTGAACTTGGGGGGGGGGGGGGACAGGGAGAAGAAGAGGGAGACAGAGTGTGTATTTGTGTATGTAAACACAGGCTCAGAAGAGGTTCTTGCCTCCCACTTTGTTTGACACGGGGTCTCTTTGTTGTTTCCAGTCCCCAGCTGGGTATGCCAGTCTAACTGGCCCAAGAGATTGCAACGATCGTACTGTCTCCACGACCCATCTCCCTGTAAGAGCAAAGCGATTAGGCACTTACGTCATGCACTCAGCTTTTATGTAGGTTTTGAGCAATAAAACTCGGGTCATCACTCTTGCACAGAAAACATTTTCATCCACTGAACTATCTCTCCAGCAAGACTTTGTCTCAGAAACAAAATTAAAAGCACGGTGGTATATACCTTTAATCCCAGTATTTGTGAGGCAGACGGCCTAGTAATTTGGTTTAGATCAGACACTTTGGTTGGTTGGTTGGTTGGTTGGTTGGTTGGTTGGTTGATTGGTTTCTCGAAACAGGGTTTCTCTGTGTAGTCTTGGCTGTCCTGGACTCACTTTGTAGACCAGGCTGGCTTTGAATTCACAATGATCCGCCTGCCTCTGCCTCCCTGAGTGCTGGGATCAAAGGTGTGTGCCACCATGCCTGGCTTAGATTGAATGTTTTTAAGACATAATCTCATGTAACCCAAACTGGCCTTGAACCCATGTAGCCAAAGATGATCTTGAACTCATGGTCTTCCTGCCTCAATCATCTCCCAACTGCTAGGATTTCAGGTGTGTGCTACCTTGCCTAGCTTGGGCATCTTTTTTTTTTTTTTTTAATCAATTCCTAAATGAGTCTGATCCATGGCTAGGATAAGTAATAGCTTGGATCGCATTTCTTTTCTGTCAGTTTACTGAAGGAGCTCCAGGGAGCAGGAACAAAGAGCAGTTCTGTTTTGATGGGGAGGAGAGGGAGAGACAGACAAGAGCACTTAGAAATGGACACGAATGTGAGCCCTCACCAACACTTGGCAGTAGAAGTTGGGCAGTGTAAGAGGCTGGAAGAGGAGCAGTACTCATCAGCAAGGGCTGGATTCGGCTTAGTCTATTTCACACCTATTCCAAAAGCTGTCTGTGGTGAAGAACAATTGAGGAAGGCACCAGAAATCAACCACTGTCCTCCATATGCGTATGTACAAACACTGCAGGCAGGTTTACACGGACATACAGACACACATACACACTACGGAGGGGAGAAGCATATGGAAAAGAAGCCAATCAGAAAACTAGTTAAGCTAATTGGTAACCAGGAAAAAAAAGGGGGGAGGTGTAGCCATGTTCATATCAAACAGAAGTCAAAATAAAAGTACTTTTCAGCCCAGCATTGTGGTGCACACCTTTAATCCCGGGATTCAGGAGGCAGAAGCAGGTGGATCTCTGCGAATTTGAGGCCAGCCTGGTCTACATAGAGAGTTCCAGGATAGCCAGGGCTACAAAACTGAGAGAGCTTGTCTCAATAAATAAATAAATGATCCTTTCGTTGGTATTAAATGGCACAAAGAGTAATAGGTCATATAACAGGCATGAACTTTCATTTACCTGCCAACATGGCTTTGAAATCTTAAATAATGAAGAAAATCTTGATAGAAGCACAAGAGAAAATAAGACATATACACAACTGTTATTTTTAAACTTCCAGGTTTTTTCTTCTTTGATGATCGTTTTAAGAAGCAGCAGCTAGGCTGAGGAGATGGCTTAGTGGGTAAAACACTCGCAGCATAAGGGCCAGAATTCAGATCCCCAGAAACCATGTACAAGCTGGGTGGTTTTTGCCAGCCTGCCTTCGATCCCAACCCATGGGAGGCAGACAGGAAGCAAGCTACAGCAAGCTGTCTAGCCAGACTAACCCAAATGGCAAGCTCTGGGCTCCGTGACAGAACCTGCCTCAGTACTTAAGGTAGAAAACAATCCACTAAGACACCTGATGTCAACCTCAAGTCTCCATATCCTGAAGCAAGCATGTGCACCTACACACACACACACACACACACACACACACACACTTACACACATGAATACATACACGTATTAAGAAGTAGTTGATTGAGGGCTGGAGAGATGGCTCAGCAGTTAAGAGGACTGGCTGGCTCTTCCAAGAGCCAGATTCAGTCCCCAGCACCAATATGGCAGCTCACAACTGTCTGTAACTACAATTCTAGAGAACCCAATGCCCTCTTCTGCATGTGGTACAGATGTACGTGCGTACAAAACACTCATAAACATGACATTTTAAAATATTTAAATTATAATAATGGATTAGCTAGACATTTATATCAATATATTAATATTGATATATATATATGTATTTGTTGATAGCTGCTTATATATATATTTGTTGATATATATATATATATATCAGCAGCTACCCAGGGCTGGTGGTACACTTCTGTAATTCCATTATTTGGGAGGCTGGGGCAGGAGGATGATGGGTTCAAAGCCAGCCTGAGTTATATAGTGAGAGTCTGGAGAGAGGTGGGGAAGAGAAGGAAGAAAGGAGAACAGAGGAGAGACCGGATCCTATGGCAGAAGCACCAGAATCCCATCTGTGGCTGAAAATGATGAGACAGGGTGACAGTCCCTCTTCTCTTCCCAGGTGCTTTGTACGCCAAGGAACCTCTCGTGGTCACCAAACAGGGGATCCTACGAGGAAAGGAAATGCATGTGGGAAACGTACCCATCCGAGTCTTCCTGGGAGTCCCCTTCTCCAAACCTCCTGTGGGCGCGCGCAGGTTTGCTCCTCCAGAGCCCCCACAACCCTGGAGTGGTATCAGAGAGGCCACCACCTACCCACCTTCGTAAGTGTCCGAGGATCGCGGGCTGGTAGATGGGCAGACCCGAGGAATAGGGCATGACAGGGCCTCTTGGGGACTAGATTAACGCACTAGAAACACCTTGTGTGACCACGGCAAACCTGGGGCCCATTCTTGGCCTCAGTTTCCACAACCTGTGTAATGAGGAAATTAAACTAAATGGCACTTAAAACACTGATGGCACTGCTTGTGTTCTCATGAGAGAAATCTAGACAAGGTGGATGAGGCCACTGACTGTGCCACAGGACCTGCTGGGAAGCTGAATTTCCCAGTTCTCATCCACACTCCAGGCCGGTGCATAGATGACGATGGGCTCCAGCTTTCTCACAAACCCACGCGGTACTACCACTCTCCCTGCAGAGGGCGCTCCAAGATAAGACGGTGTCTTGCTGCCACCTAGAGCCTTTACGTAGCAAGACTTGAACAAGGAAGGACTTGCCCTTTGGAGCCCTGACTTGGCCTTGAGTTTAGCCAAAATAAGTGTATTTACTGTTTGTTAAATCAACTGTCCAGAGTGCTGTTTGGCAATCATTAACAAGGTTCAGCATCAGCTGGTTAAAGCACAAGGTTTAGAATCTGGGTGTAAACCCATATTTAAAAAACAAGAAAAGCCCTATAACTCCCACTTGAATGTCTATTTGTTAGTAAAAGTTCCACTGTTAGGACATAATCAACCAGATACCAAGGGTGTTTTTTCTCCATGCCAACCACAGGTGAGCTACAGGTTCAAATTCAAGCAACATATATGCATGTTTTTGTTTTTTTTTTCAAGCCCCAGGAATTCTGATCACTCTCTGAGTTACCAGAACATGGGAAGACTATTATTTGTTGGTCAGGGTTTGGAAGTGAAGGTGTCCCTTTTATACACCATTTGGGTGCCAATCATTGGAACTCGCTCTAAGCTGTCCAAGCAAGGGGTGTTTAAAACTTAGAGACTCAAGTGTAAACCTGTGTATTACTTAGACCATTCTAAAGGGCAACAATTAAGGGGGAGAAGCTATGCAGAAATGGTGGCTTCTGCAGGGAAGCTAGAAGGAAATTATTTCAAGTGAAAAGTTGATAGTATATTTTGAAGAATTGGATATGAGCCACATTTGGAAAAAAATTTAATATAATGACTATATTTTGGTCAAGAGAATAAGAGTGTCATTTCCCAAAATGGTGAGCACTAAGGCAGAGCAGTTTGGGGCAAAATAAGAAAAAATTCATTTGGCTATCAAGCATGATGGCACACATTGATGATCTCAGTGATTGAGAGGCTGAAGCAGGAAGATCAGGAGATCAAGGCCAGTCTTGTCTACACAGCAAGTCTGAGGGCACCCTGGGCTATTTAAGATGGAATCTCAAAAGAGAAAGAGCGCCAGGTAGGATGGTTCACTCCCTTAATCCCAGGACATTGGAGGCAGAGGCAGGCAGATCTCTATGAGTTTGAGGCCAGCCTGGTCTACATACTGACTTCCAGGCAATCTTAGGCTACATAGTGAGTTGATCCCTAGCAACCATGAAAGTGCATGATGCTGTGCACTCATAATCTGAGCACTAGGGAGATGGACACAGTAGGATCCCTCTGCTTCACTGACCAACTAATCTAGCCTAGTTGATGAAGTCCAGGCAACAAGAGACCCTGTTTGAAAGGAGGTAGATGGTACTTCTGAGTATGATCAAAAGCTGACCTCTGGCATCCTCATGGATATTCACACATATGCACACACACTTGTAAATACACACCGGTACACATACAGACATGCATACACACACTCACTTTTTTTTCCAAAAAAGAAGGCAACTGATGAGATGGCTCAGCAAATGAAGATTCTTGCCACCAAGCTTGATGACCTGAGTTCCATCCCTAGAACCTACAGGGTAGAAAGAAGGAACTGACTCCCAAAAGCATCCTCTGACCTCCATACGTGCACCATGGCATGTGCACATACACAACCAAATAAATAAATGTCATTTTAAGTTTAAAAAAAAGAGAGAAAAGGCAGTCAAACAAGGGAACAGAAGTGTTGCCTGGAAGTAGAGAGTAGAGACCCTGCCTAGCACGCCTGAGTGCCGGATTTTATCCTGGCACTACAAATTTTCAAAGGAGGAGGAAGTCAGGCAAAGATTAAAGACAGGGCTTTGGAGCCAGGCATAGTTGTACAGGCCTGTTATAGCAGCACTTGGGAGGTGAGACCAGAGGCTGAAGAGTTCAAGGTCAACATCAGCTACATGGTTAAGTTCAAGGTCATTCTGGGTTACATGAGAACCTGTCTCAAAAGAAAGAAAGAAAAAGAGAGAAAGAAAGAGAGGAAGAAGAGAAGAAGAAGGGAAGGAGGAAGAGAGGAAGGAAGGAAGGAAGGAAGGAAGGAAGGAAGGAAGGAAGGAAGGAAGGAAGGAAGCTAAGCTGCTTGCTGGTGACCTTTGAAGAGACCAGGTGAGGTAGAAAGAGGACAGTTGATTGAAGTTTATCCTGGGGGGGGCGGGGCTGGGGAGATGGGCTCAGTAAGTAAAGTGCTGCCTTACAAGTATGAGGTCCTGAGTTCAATCCCCAGAACACACATAAAAGACAAGAGTCGCGGCAAGAATTTGTAATACCAGTCCTGGGGACACAGAGATAAGAGGGTTCCTCAGGCTCACCAGACAGCCAGCTTCACCTATTTAGCGATATCTAAGTACTGAGAGACCCTCAAAATAGATAGATGATAGATAGATAGATGATAGATAGATGATAGTTAGATGATAGATAGATAGATAGATAGATGATAGTTAGATAGATAGATAGATAGATAGATAGATAGATAGATAGATAGATAG